GTCCCTCGATTAACCAAAGATCAGCCCATTCCTGAGGCCATTACAGTGTTCACTGATGACATCAGTAATGGCAATGCTGGCTATGCAGGTCCTACAAACAAGCTTATTTCTCTTCCCTGTTTTAACAGGTCTACATCTAAGGTTCCTTTTTCAGGAAACCAAGGACAGAATTTTACCACTGCCCTGAATAGAGTGACCGTATTTTCCATGGGCACTTGAACCATTTCCTGTTTTAACTGGAGTTTAATATAGAAGAGATAGGTATAATTTTTATACTCCGTGTGACCCATGGTTAACCCGGACCATACACAGACTACTCGCCAGTCATTAGGGAGTCCAACACGTGTATCTGTGGACCATACCGATGTCGTTTCTCCACACCTACCAAAGGGATTCAGGTTCCCACATGCACTTAGGAAAAAAGAAAGATGATGTGGGCACCAGATATCGTGGAAAACCCCACCCCCGATATTTAACGTGGGTTCTTTTTGTCTCGGCTGGTCTCAGAAATAAAGGGAAAGAGTACAAGAGAGATAAATTTTAAAGCTGGGTGTGCAGGACAGACATCACATGTCGGCAGGTTCCATGATGCCCCCGAGCCGTAAAACCAGCAAGTTTTTATTAGCGATTTTCAAAAGGGGAGGGAGTGTAGGAACAGGGTGTGGGTCACAGAGATCACATGCTTCACAAGGTAATAAAATATCACAAAGTAAATGGAGGCAGGGTGAGATCACAGGGTTACAGGATGGGGCGAAATTGAAATTGCTAATGAAGTTTCAGGCACGCATTGTCATTGATAACATCTTATCAGGAGACAGGGTTTGAGAGCAGACAACCTGTCTGACCAAAATTTATTAGGTGGGAATTTCCTCGTCCTAATAAGCCTGGCAGCACTACAGGAGAACGGAGTTTATTTCATCCCTTCAGCTTCAACTGTAAAGGACGGCTGCCCCCACGGGGGTCATTCATAGGCCTACCCTCAGGGGCGCAGTCTCTTTCTCAGGGATGTTCCTTGCTGAGAAAAAGAATTCAGCGATATTTCTCCTATTTGCTTTTGAAAGAAGAGAAATATGGCTCTGTTCCACCCAGCTCACCAGCAGTCAGAGTTTAAAGTTATCTCCTTTGTTCCCTGAACACTGCTGTTATACTGTTCTTTTTTTCAAGATATCCAGATTTCATATTGTTCAAACACATATGCTCTACAAACAATCTGTGCAGTTAACACAATCATCACAGGGTCCTGAGGTGACATACATCTTCCTCACTTTACAAAGATGATGGGATCAAGAGATTAAAGTAAAGACAGGCATAGGAAATCACAAGGGTATTGATTGGGGAAATGATAAATGTCCATGAAATCTTCACAATTTATGTTCAAAGACTGCAGTAAGACAGACGTAAAAAAATTATAGAAGTATTAGTTTGGGGACCTAATAAATGTCCATGAAATCTTCACAATTTATGTTCTTCTGCCGTGGCTTCAGTTGGTCCCTCTGTTCGGAGTCCCTGACTTCCCGCAACAATTGATGACTACCTTCTTCTATCACCATTCTGTATTCCCTTTGCTTTCAGCAAGCACCTCAGCAGGTCATGGTTTTTTTCCTGGTGGAGTGACCCAAACCTTCATTCCTGAAAGGTCTGGGCCATTTGTAGTCCTACCTGGATTGGACTGTTGTAGTTTCCCATTAACCTTAATCACAGGACATGGTAATACTAAGAGATGCCCTAATGGATCTCCTGTATTCTATGTGTACTCTTCCTTACCTCCATTGGGGAGTAGTAGACAGATTTCATCTTGATAGTCCAGGTCAATCATCCCAACCAATATTGTAACTCCCTTCTTAGCCTGTTGACTAAAAGGTAGGAGGAGCCCAGGCCGGGCATGGTGGCTCACGCCTGTAATCCCAGCACTTTGGGGGACCAAGGCAGGTGGATCACAAGGTCAGGGGATCGAGATCATCCTGGCTAACATGGTGAAACCCCATCTCTACTAAAAATACAAAAAATCAATATGCACTCACCAAATAGTTACTGAACACTTAACTTTTTAAAAAACAAAACAAAACAACAGAGAAAAATGGAGCCTCACCCTGTCACCCAGGCTGGAGTGCAATGGCCAGATCTCGGCTCACTGCAACCTCCTCCTCCCAGGTTCAAACCATTCTCCTGCCTCAGCCGCCTGAGTAGCTGAGATTACAGAAGCCTGCCACCATGCCCTGCTAATTTTTGTATTTTTAGCAGAGAAGGGATTTCACCATGGTGGCCAGACTGGTCTCAAACTCCTGACCTCAGGTGGTCCACCCACCTCTGCCTCCCAAAGTGCTGAGATTACAGGCATGAACCATTGCACCAGGCCACACTTTATTAATAATTGCTGTGCCTTGGTGCTAAGGATCAAAACAGAAAATCCTTGCTTTCATGTTTTCAAACTATATAAAGGTAATTATGTTAATTTCCTATTGCTGCTGAAACAAAACACTTTAAATTTAGTGGCTTAAAACAACTCAAGTTTATTATGTCACAGTTCTGTAGGTCAGAAGTTCAGCAAGAGTTGGCTGGTTCCTCTCTTCCTGGTCTCTTAAGGGTGAAATCAAGGTGTCAGCTGACCTGAGCTTTTGTCTGGTACCTCTGGGGAAAAATGTGCTTTCTGTTTTATTTAGGTTGTTGACAGAATTCAATTCCTTGTGGCTCTGTGGCTGAGGTCTCCATTTCCTTACTGGCTGTCAGCCAGGAGAAGCCTCTCTTGGTTCCCTATGGCCACCTGCATTCCTTGTCAAATTGTTCCTCTCGTTATCTTGAATCTCTCTGACTTTTGCTTTGCCACATCTGTACTGCTTTTAAGGATTTATGTGATTAGATTGGGCCCACAGAGATAATCCAGGATTATTTTCCTTTCTTAAAATCTGTAACCTTAATTACATCTGCAAAAGGTCCCTTTTGCCATGTAATGTAGCATATTCACAGGTTCTATGATTTGGGCGTGGGCATTTTGTAGAAGGCCATTCTTCAGCCTACCATGGAGATTATTCTTCCAGAATTATTTTCTGGCATATCCCTCCCTTAGGTGATCTGGAGTAATATCTTGCACCAATATGGCTTAATTTATTTTGGTTATAACATTAGGTTTTATTTGAACAATAAAAATATTGGCAGTTCTTTTAAAAAGCTATGAACCAGACCAGAAAGGAGTCACTATGGATGTAGAAGAGCTAAAATAAAGAAATCAATAATAAACCTTATAAATAGAATGAGCATAGCAAGTAACTGATACAGGGGCAATGTGATGTCTCTTTTACCCAGCTTCCAAAGAATATAGGGTTGAACAATTACTGTATTTAGCATTATTTCAAGTATAGATTATTTCCTGAATGCATTAGTCTGCTATTATACACAAGATAATCTCCAATTTTGCATACTACTGAGTTTGTTTGAAATTAAATATAATTCTATTTTCTCTCAAAACTGCCCAACATCAAAATAATCATAAATGGGTTTTATTTTCCATTTTTAACTTATCAAACTAGTAACCAAATGAAACTAAAAATCAATTCAATAACACAGAATTTATAGAAAGTCTACTATTTGTTGGATGTTATGCTAGATCCAGACAATACAGTTTACCTTACACTCCTTGACTGTAGGAAACTGGTAGGCATATAAACAAATAAATTATAATACTGTGCAGCAAGGGCAATAAGAGAAGTGAGCACAGGTGGAAGGAACGCTTTATTCTATGAGTAGTGAGGTAAGATTTTCCTGGCTGAAGGACAAAAAAATCTTTAGGAGGTCAAGGTGGAAGGGGAGCTAAGCCAACAGCATGACAAAGGCACTAAGTATGAAAAGAAACAGAGTATCTGGGGAAGTACAGGTGTGGCTGGAGGACAGAGAGTGAGAGGCAAGTGGTGAAAGTAAAGGCTGGAAGGTCAGCAGGGTCAGAACGTATCATTCCATTCGGTTTATTCTGTGAAAATGTAGTGCCAGCAAAAGCTTTTTAATTTGGGAAAACACGATAGGACTTGCACTTTCGAAAGATTACCGTGGTTGCACAGAAGAGACTGACTGGGTCAGAGGTTAGTTACAGGCTGGAAAACCAGTTTAGATGATACTGAAGAGCAAGGATGAAAGCCTAAACTAAAGCAGTGGACATGCGAATGTGGAGCAGAGGAATGATTCAAGAAATTCTGTGGTAAAACTCATCAGACTTCATGATTGATTAAAGGTATGGTGGTAGACAAGGGAGGGAGAGGTAGGGTAAGAATGGAGAAGCAGGAATTGGGAGTTATTTGGAAATTTCTGACATGGGAGGAAAATCTGGCTATTTCATAACACCTGACTAAATTAGGAAATGGAAGAGCATAAGCGGAGAGGGAATGGCGATGCTCTCTCCTTGACCATACTTTAGTTACACTCCTCTGAGCCCTCTTCCCAACTAGGCCTCATCCTTGGACCACTATTTTAGGCCTGCTGAGTCCAGTTTTAGCAAGAATCTTGCTAAGTCAGTTTAGAGAGTATCCCCTAGCCTTGATAATTGGTCATCCCCACCTGCCTTCAGCAAGAATCTTGAAAGTCAGTTTAGCAAGAATATCCCCTACCCCTGATGTCACCTCTTAGTAATTTTCCATGCACTGACCCCTCAGTCTGCTTGCTGGCTATAATTCCTAGCTGTTTTTGTTGTATTAAAACTTGAAGCTGATCTCTCTCCCCGACGGTGATAGTCATGGCACCTATTGCAATAGTTCTAAATGTCTTCCTTGCCATTTTAACAAGTGTCAGAATAATTTTTCTTTAGCATCAAGGAGGAATCTCTTTCAAACACTAAAGCTCCTTCCACATGCCTGTAAGGCTTAATTGGTGCATACATCTTTTAACTCTCCTGTAGCTAAATAACATGTCTGGCTTATCCACCGCTATGGTTTACCAGGCATTATGATGTACATAATCCAGACACTGTGTCCCAAGAACATAGCAAGCTGGCTTTCCCTCCTTGATTTAAAAAAATAACAACAACAAAACTATCAGTGTAACGTCCACTACATTTGACAGGTCAAAGAACTCCCTTCCTTAAGGACTTTACAATAACCTTACAGGGGGCTAAAGCATACATATCCGTGGGTAGTGGGCAAGCCTTGAGAGCACAGTGTAAGTCTTGATAACATTTTGAGGTAGAGAACTAGTAGACACTGATCTGTTTTCCGGACCTCAGTGTAATTGCAAGGGCACTTCAAGAGGCTAAGGGGCTATTGCAACTACCCAAATTCGCTATTGTAGCATAAAAGCTTTAATTGACAGCATGTATAGGAATGAAAGGCTGTGTTCTAATGAAACTGTAAAAAGCAGACACAAATATGAATATCATATAATTGTCATGTGTCGCAAAACATTTTTTTTTTAACCTTTGAAAAATGTGAAACCCATTTTTAGCTCCCAGCTATATACAGCAGAACCTGCGACGGGCCGGATTTGCCCTGAGGGTTGTAGTTTGCCCCTGTGGTACGCATGAAATGCCAGAATTTTAAAAAGATGTGTTAAGTGTGGGACCATTTGTGGGGCGGTTTATGCTAACTTCCAATACTGTAATATATGTCAAATAGCTTTTGAGTGCCATTTAGTCTGGGTGGCCATGCCCAGGAATGGATACAGAAAAAGGAGCGCGGCGGTGCCGCGCACCACCCTCTAGGAAACTGGTATCGCAGCCCGCAGCTCCTAGGAACTGAGACAGCTTGGGCAGGGGCTTCAGGGATGCGGAGAGGGAGGCTTATCTCTGCCTAAAGAGGATAGCGGCCCCCAAACAAGCAGGCCAGGATACTGCTCCGAGGTCCCGCCCACGAAGGCAAAACGAACTCCCACCGCTCACACAACCGGGAAACACAAGAGCACAGCACGCCCCACCGGCAAGCCACACCTCGCGCATCACGCACGCACGCACGCACGCATACACGTCTGTCGCTGCTTCCCGCCTTGCGCTCCGTCATGCTCTATTGCGCATACTTCGGGGAGGGGGAAGAACGGAGATTGACAGGGACGCAGAGGCCTGAGCGAGGCGGAAAAACCTCACCCGAGCTAGCGGGTAGACCCAAACGGCTAGTGCGTCACTTCCGCTGGGGGCGGGGCGGGGCTGAGTGAGTGGTGACCCAGCTGCTGCGCCAGTGTTTGTGTTGGAAGCTCAGCTGATGCAGGCCGGTAGGAGTGGACGTCAATGCCGGGAACGAGCGAGTCGCCGCTGCAGCCCTTGTGACTGCGGCCTGCATCCCGGTAAGTGGCCGCGAGGGGACAAGGGGCGGGACGATAGGAGGCTGGGTGATCGTTCTGGACCCTTGTCCGTTTCTCCGGCTCTTCCTTTCTCTTTCTTTGAAGGGCACTTCCCTAGCGAGAGGGTGGGGAGACGCCAGGCTTTGGGGAGGACCTGGCGCTGCAAGGAGCCCGCGGCTCCTGGAGCTCATTGGTGCTCGGCGCCCTCCGCCCCCGTGGACTTTGCTGCCCCAGAAGCGCAAACTGTTTTTGGTTTCGCCGGTCCCGCCCTACTCCTCCTGTCCCATCCCCAGGACTCCCTCCCCAATTTCCCAGAGTCTGTCTGCCTTCCCCTGCACTTTAGTGTTCTCCAGTAGTTAGCTGGTCACTCTCAGGAGGGTTTCCCTACTCTACATCATTCTCGACTGTCATTGTGCACCTGGTGATTCTACTGCCTGATATTTTTTGTCAGCGATTTCTTTCTAACCCCATCCGCATGATTCCATCCCTGACCACTGCTGCTTAAGTAGATTCAGGTGTGTACTTTTTAAAAGGTGAAGGTATATGAATCACTGTTGCAGTGCTTCCTATCCCTGTGTCATTTCTATCATTATGCTGGAAGGAACCTGCTTTCCACGCCTAATACAATGATAACTTTAAAATGGTGATTCATAGGAAAAACTTCAGAGAGTTGTGACATAAGGGACTGTCATATAATCCTGTTTAAAATACTGTTTGCATTTCCAGTAACAGTTGTATCCTGGTTCTGCAGTCCTAATTGCCAAGAGTTCAAAAATGACAAATGTTTCAGTGTATTAAGAAAATGCTGTTAAACAGTGGAACATTAAGAACTGAGAGCTTAAGGCTTGTGAGGCAGTTGTATCAAGCCCATTGTAGCTATTTTGTTAAATTGCTTATGCAAATTAGTTGTACTTTCAATATAAGAACATGTTTTTATTTCGTAATTACAATCAACTTTTTCTTAATGTTGATCTCGTTTTTTATTTCTGTATCAGGCCTAAATTAAAATATTGTAAACGCCCTTTTAATGAGTGATGCTGAAGGAAAGGGTCAGTTTCACTAGTTTAGATATTCACTTGTTTCACATGCAAAGTTGTTACAAGAACAACCTGTACTTTGAGTTGTTTTTTTACCCCAGTTAGAGAGGTTGTGCTGAAGCTGCATATTGCTTCAGTTGTGGAATATATATTTGTAAAAAGGTCAGAGTTAGAACGCTTAGCCATAGACACCTTCCTGTCCTGCCATTTTTTGTTGTTGTTGTTGGGAGTCTCTCTCTGTCACCCAGGCTGGAGTGTCCTGGCGCGATCTCGACTCACTGCAAGGTTCAAAGGATTCTCTTGCTTCAGCCTCCCGAGTAGCTGGGATTTACAGGCGTGCGCAACCACACCCGGCTAATTTTTTTAAGTAGAGATGGGTTTCGCCATGTTGACCAGGCTGGTCTCAAACTCCTGGCCTCAAGTGATCCACCCGCCTCGGCCTCCCAAAGTGCTGGGATTACAGGTGTAAGCCACTGCGCCTGGCCGATCATTTCTTAGTTCTTATTTTTTTCTGCAGTACTCGCATATTTTATTCTGTTCCTTATCCGTTACTTGAAAAAAATTGGTCCTGTCTTGGTTTCCAGTGTCCTGATTTTTTCAGGGTGGCTTTTTCTCCTGTTTTGTTTCCTTTAGAGTCTTTCTTCCTCTTCTTAGCTCTGGGTGGCACTCAAGCCTCTACCCCTGTCGCTGTCTCTAAACTAGAGTTTCATATTTGAAACCCAGGTATACTTAAATAGGCATGTGAATATACTGAAATATTATGGAAAATATAGTTTGTATTGCAAATACATATTTTTCAAGGAAAAAAAGCTTTTCTCAGGTTCTCTAATCCCAAAATAGTCATGTATTATTACTGTAAACTGTCATCTGATAAATCCATCTAATGTTGTGGTTTCTGCTGCCACTGTGCTGGTAATTCCACACGTAAATCCATAGTCTGTGTACATTTCCATTCGAATGTCCCACTGTTACTTCATCCTGTGAATCCAAAAGAAAATGTGTTTTTCTTTCGTATTAAATTGGCCCCTTCACAGTTTTCTCATATTCGCAAATGGCACTCTTCATATATTTCAGATTTGAAACCTTAGGGCTCTCTTAACACTTCCCTCTCTTTACCCCATTCTTGGCTGTCAAGTCCTGTGTTTTGTTGTTTTCTCTTTTTTCCCTTACTTTCAAAGTGTTCAGAGTGGCTCTCTTCCCCACATTAGTACTTGCTGGGTGCGGTGTCAGAGCCCCAGCATTGGAAAGTGGTCAGCTTGGGATAGTAGGGTAGTAAGAAAAATTTACCAACAACAGTATAGATTTGAAAAGGAAAGTGTTATTAGATAGAAAGAGTGCTGCAGAAGAGTGCAGTAAGGTGCCTCAGCAAGAGAGGACAGCTCACTGCAGTGGATTTTCTTCTTGGGGTATTTATGGACCTTACAGCAGAAGCTGAAGGGTAACTTGGACCATATTAGCCACGTAGGTCATGATCAGTGATTACATTTGTAGACATTTTGGTGCTTTGATATCAGCAAAGGTTGCACAATGAGTTTTGACAAGCATACATTCTGGACATGTATAGAAATTCTAGTTACTTATACGTTGCTGGGAAAGAATCCTGGTACCAGATGCTGGCTTTAGCCAACAGAGAAGTCTAATTATTTCTAAATTCCTCAGATAAGGAGTTGTCCCTCTGGATGGTCTGCTCAATGGCCACCAGGGGATCTTTGCTCTCCTCAGTACTGTTACGTTCAGACTGTTGTCACCCTTTTGCCTGTGTTATATTAATAATTAAGTGATATCCTCTGTAAATTCATTCTTTCCATCCTTAGCTGGGCCTCTACCTAATAATTCCCTTAATTCCTCTAGTTAAAACTCCATTCCCTTCTCTAGTGGTTGGTCCAAGCCTCTCCGTTTTATTCGTACCTCCCTTGTATTTATACTACGTCTATTCTTCCTTGCTCTTTTTTCAGTTGATGGTAGCGTCTCACTTTACATTCTTCTTCCTATGTTTTTGCGATCTAACTTCTGGCTGAATGTACTCTCAAAACACTTATCTTGCATTTACTAATGTTGTGATTTGGGGGCAATTCAATTAAACTTACTGATTTTGTTGGTCATCTTTGTTTTGTAATTTTTGCTTGGTAGTTGTCGTTTCTGAGAAAGGTGTATTAAATCTCTCATTATGATTATGAAGTTGTCTAATCTTGTAATGGTTCCCATATTTTGGCCTTTTGTACTATATTTTAATGCCAAGTTGATAGGTGGTTTCATAAATTCATCATATTGGAAAGAAACAATGCAAAATTCTGCCATAGTCTAGTCTCCATTTCCTGCCTGAATTTTGGGGTCTGTGACCTCAAAATATCTGAGACAGGTCTCAATCAATCTAGAAAATTTTGTCGAATTTAAGGACGCACCCGTGACACAGCCTCAGGAGGTCCCACTGACATGTGCCCAAGGTGGTCAAATGCCACTTGCCTCTGTACATTTTAGTGAGACATAATGCATCAATCAGTCACATCGGTTTGATTTGGAAGGGGACGGGGCTTCCAGGTCATATAAACATTTTCTGTTTGGCAGTTGGTTGAATGAGTTGCTATCAGTGGAAAGGAATGTCTGGGTTACCATAAGGAGGTGTGGAGACCAAGGTTTTATGATGCGGATGAAGCCTCCAGGTAGCAGGCTTCAGAGAGAATAGATTGTGAATGTTTTTTCTTTTTTCTTTTTTTTTTTTTTGAGTGGGAGTCTCGCTGTGTCGCCTAGGCTGGAGTGCAGTGGCACTATCTCAGCTCACTGTAATCTTTGTCTCCCAGGTTCAAGTGATTCTTCTGCCTCAGCCTCCCGAGTAGCTGGGACTACAGGCATGTGCCACTACGCCTGGTTAATTTTTGTATTATTAGTAGAGACGGGGTTTCACCATATTGGCCAGGCTGGTCTTGAACTCCTGACCTTGTCATCCACCCACCTCAGCCTCCCAAAGTGCTGAAAGTACAGGCGTGAGCCACCGCACCCGGCCTGTAAATATTTCTTACCAGACTTAAGATCTGTGTTGATGTGAATGCTGGAGGGGTATAATGAGGCACATCCAACCCCCTTTCCATCATGGCTGAACTAGATTTTCAGGTTAACTCTGGAATGCCCTTGGCCAAGAGGAGGGGTCCATTCAGATGTTGAGGAGAGCCGTAGAATTTTATTTTTGGTTTGGTTCGTCTTTATCATTCTTTTTTTCCCCTTACTTGCCTTTAATCATCTTGTAGTTCTTGCTGTTCCAAAGCTCATATTTGTCTCCAAATTGTTGGTTGTTTTTTCTCTCTGACTAGAATGCTGTTTTCCCAGATTTTCTTAATAATTTTCTTTCTTGCTTCTTTCAGGTTTCCACTAAAATGTCAACTCAGTTCTGATCACACCATAAAATAACGCTCTGTGCCCTTCTTCCCCTCCCCCCTGCTTTATTTTAATTCATGGCACTTCTCAGCCTGACTTTATCCATTCCATTCCTTATTTGTTTTATTTCTCAGTAGATTGTCTTCTCCTCCAAGGTCTACATGATTACCTGAGGTTTAATAAGTAAATGGATCATTCCTTTATTGTTATGTAGTGTCTCCTTTTTATCCATAATTAATGCCTTTCCCTTATGTTTACCTTCAAAGGCTTTTCATTTTCTGCTGGGTAGTTTTGGTCTGGTATAACATTTTTCCCAGTCCTGTATTTTCAGCCTTCTGTTACAGGTGTGTTTGTAGCTAGCACATAGCTGGAGTTTTCATTTCTGAGATTTTGCTCTCCTTGTTTATTCTGGGTACAGTTCTCTTTTTGACTCTTTATTTTTGTTCTTTCTGTTTCGCCTTTGAACATTTTAGACCTTAATTTTTTTATATTTCTGAATCTTAGTTACACATTTGTTTTCTGGCTATATTTGCTGATCCTCTCTGCAGGCGATGGTGCATTTCTTTGCATGTTTTGTAACTTCAGTGAGTTCATTTTCTGTGGTAGTTGCTTGGTGTGGGATCCCATTGCCCATAGGGTATCTGCACCTTGAGGATAGTATGACTGCAGTTCCAGACCCGTGGGTCCTCTTAAACCTGGAGATTTTTTACTATTGACTTTGAGCATGGCTTTATTATTTTATAAAATTATTTTTTATTTTTTAAATTGCCAGATAAAGGTGTATGTATTTACGGTGTGCAACATGATTTTTTAAGTATTATTTTCATTGTGGACTAACTAAATCTAACATATGCATTACGTCACACAGTTATTTTTCTGGTTTAATTTTACATTTTCTTGGTATTCTTCAAGTTGAGCATGGATTTTTTTTTTTAAATGATGTATAATATTTGTATATATTTATAGGGTAGATGTGATATTTTGATACATGTGTACAATGTGAAATGATCAAATCAGGGTATTTAGGATATGCATCACCTTGAACATTTATTTTTTCTTGGGAATATTTCAAATCTTGTAGCTATTTTGAAATAACACAATATGTTATTGTTAACTATAGTCCCTCTACTTTACTATTCAAATAGTATAACTCATTACTTCTTTTTTTTTTTTTTTTTTTGAGGTGGAGTCTCGCTCTGTCGCCCAAGCTGGAGTTCAGTGACTGTGATCTCGGCTCACTGCAAGCTGCACCTCCCAGGTTGACGCCATTCTCCTGCCTCAGTCTCCCAAGTAGCTGGGACTACGAGCGTCCGCCACCTCGCCGGGCTAATTTTTTGTATATTTAGTAGAGACGGGGTATGACCATGTTAGCCAGGATGGTCTCGATCTCCTGACATCATGATCCGCCCGCCTCGGCCTCCCAAAGTACTGGGATTACAGGCGTGAGCCACCGTGCACGGCCTATAATTCATTACTTCTAAGTGTATGCTTGTACCTATTAACTATCCTCTCTTATCCCCTCCTTTCCAGCCCCCAACTCTCCCTCACACACACTGTTCCTAGCCTCTGGTAACTATCATTCTACTCTCTATCTCCATGAGATCCAATTTTTTTGGCTCCTACATATAAGTGAAAACAGAACATGGCTTTTTATCCACAAGTATTTTACCTTAAGTGTTTTTGTGTCATTGGGGCTGCAGAGCTTTTATGTTAACTTGACTTATCTTATTGACTGCAAGTCCCAAGGAGTTTGGAAGAGCCTTGTGGGAATCAAGAGAAAATGTCCCCTTCCACCTCTGCCAGTTTGCTGAAAATCAGCTGACAGAAACAGATTACTAAGAAAAATGGCATACAAATTTATTAATGTGCACAGCTGAGAATCGCAATGATTACTTAAATATCCCAGTGGGGCCCACATACTTACATAGCTGTTTTCAGAGGGGAAGGAAAGATGGGGAATAGAGGTAATTCTGTTGAGCGGCAATAACTGATCACTAGGGCGAAGGAATGGACGGGGGGTTGGAAGGACAGAGATGAACTTGTATTCTCTTTGAAAACTGAATGAGCCTAAGAGACAGACTTCATCTTATGAAAGTGTCATTTGGGTGTGGTTATATTCTTCAGTCTTCCAGTCTTCTTTTCTGCAGCAGATAATAAAATTGTTTTCCCGTCTCCCTGAGGAGGAGACGGGAAAACAATTACTCTCCTTGGGGAATCTGTCTGGTCTTTTTGTAGATAGGGGAAAAGTCTCTTCTAGCATCTGTTGATCTCTGATGGGGCTTTAATTCAAAATACTTATACCAGGCAGCCATATTTTGTGGTAGAATTCCCTGGGCTCCTTCAGCCTGGAAGACAAGACAGGCTTTGCTTTTTTTTCTCTCTCTTCCATATAAAATTCTAAATGGCACATGCAATTTAGAAGGAAGAATTTTACTTTAGGCTGTTATCTTACGGACAATTGGAATAGGTTCTCAGTTCCATCTTTCTCAGCGTCATCTACCTCTCTCTCAATCTCTCTAGGTCCTGCAGTAAAACTAGACTATATGCAATCTCTGCACATACTATATGTGCTTTCTTCCGTGCTTTCTTCTGTTTGCTTCTGTGTGTAGTTTTGTTTGTTTTAGAGATGGGGACTCTGTGGCTCAGACTCCTGGGCTCAAGTAATCCTCCCACCTCAGCCTCCTGAGTAGCTAGGACTACAGGCCTGTGCCACCATGCCCAGCTAATTTGTTTTATTATTGTTTTTTTTGAGACAAGGTTTCACCATTTACCTGGGCTGGTCTCAAACTCCTGGCTGTGTTTGTTTTGTTTATGGTTATTTAGAATTCTCTCCTTTCCTTCTCATCTTTACACATGATGAATTCCTTTTTAACTTTGGCCAGTTTTTAACCTCTTTTTTTCTTAAACTTCCCTCGATTTTATCTCAATTTGTCTTTCATTCACATGGTACCTTCTGTTACAGTGCTTTAAATATTTTACTTTTTCTAATTACAAAATAAAACCTCATTATAAATAATTCAGACAGTAGAAAAGTAAAAAGTAAAAACCATTCTCATTCCCTTTCGGCCCCATGCCTTAGGTCATAAGAATAAACAGATGCTTATCCTTTCAGAATCAGTTTGTGTATGTATATGTGTGCCCATAAGATTTCAACTACATATGTAGATTTTCATTTTTTAATATATGTGTGTGTGTATATATATATTCATGTGTGTATAGCATGTATAGAACTGCAGATTGCTTTTTTAAAAAAAGACTTTTTTTAGAACAGTTTTTAGGTTCACAGGAAAATTGAGAGGAAGGTACAGACATTTCCATAAACCCCCTACCCCAGTACACGCATAGCCACCTCCATTATTGGCATCACTCACCAGAGTGGTACAGGTATTATAATTGATGAGCCTGCATTCACACACAGTCCCCCAAGTTCATAGGGTACATTTGGGTTCATTCCTGGTGGTGTACATTCTGTGGGTTTAAACAAATGTTTAATTATATTTATCCATTATTATACTATACAAAGGATTTTTAGGGCAGTAAAAATACTATCCTCTGTCCCCTACCTATTTATTCCTTCTGTACTCTGCTTTTGGCAACCACTGATCTTTTTACTGTCTTCATAGTTTTGCCTTTCTAGAGTGTTATATAGCTGGAATCATACTTCTATGGTCTGAATGTTTGTGCCTCTCAAAATTCATGTGGAAATCATAACCGCTAAGGTAATGGTATTAAGAGGTAGGTCTTTGGGAGGTGATTAGGTCAGAAGAGTGTAGTCCTTAGGAATGGGATTAGTGCCCTTCTAAAAGACAACCCGTAGAGCTAGTTAGTACCTTCTACCATGTGAGGACACAGTAAGAAGACAGCCATCTGTGAACCAGTAAGTGGGCCTTCAGCAGATACCAAATCTGCTAATACTGATCTTGGACTTCCCAGTCTCCAGAACTGTGGGAAATTTTGTGAGAAATAAATTTCTATTGTTTATAAGCTACCTAAGCCAGGCATGTGTACCTATAGTCCCCGCTACTTGGGAGGCTAAGGCAGGTGGATTGCATGAGTCCAGGAGTTCAAGGAGGTAGTGAGCTATGATCATGCATGCCACTGCACTGCAGCCTGGGTGACAGAGTGAGACCTAGTCTCTATAAAACACACACAGATACCCCATTTTATATATGGGGTATCTCCCATATGTAAGCTCCCCAGTTTATGGGATTTTGTTGCAGGAGCCTGAACAAAGACACAGTATGTAGCCTTTTTCAGATTGGCAGTTTTCACTTAGTAATATGCATTTCAGGTTTCCCGCAGTCTTTTTATGGCTTGATAGCTCATGTCTTTGTAGCACTGAACAATTTTCCATTGTCTACACATACCATATATTGATATGCCACAGGTTATCCATTCACTTACTAAAATACATCTTGTTGTTTTGAAATTTTGGCAATTATGAATAAGGCTTCTATAAACATCCATGTGCAGATTTTATTATGGACATAGTCTCAGCTCCTTTGGGTAAATATCAAGGAGTAACATTGCTGGGTCATATGTTAAGAGTATGTTTAATTTTGCAAGAAACTACCGAACTATCTTTCAGAGTGACTGTACCATTTTGTGTTTCTTCAGCAATGAGTAAGAGTTCCTTTTGCTTTACATCCTCACCAGCATTTAGTGTTCTCAGTGTTCTGTATTCTGGCCAGTCTAATGGGTATGTTGTAGTATCATGGTTATTTTAGTTTGCATTTTCCTGATGACATATGATGTGATACAACTTCTCATATGTTTATTTGTTTCTATATATCTCCTTTGATGAGGTGTCTGTTACAGCCTTTGGCACATTTGTAATTGAGTTTGTTTTCTTATTGTTGAGCTTTAAGAGTTCTTTAAATATTATGGATGACAGGTCTTTATCAGATATGTCTGTTGAAAATATTTTTTCCCAGTCTCTGCCTCGTTGTCTTATTCTCTTGACATTGACCTTCACAGAGCAGAAGGTTTTGTTTTTTCTGGTTTTTTTTGAGACAAAGCCTGGCTCTTATTGCCCAGGCTGGAGTGCAGTGGCACAATCTTGGCTCGCTGCAACCTCTGCCTCCTGGATTCAAGTGATTCTCCTGCCTCAGCCTCCCGAGTAACTGAGATTACAGACGTGCACCACCATGCACAGCTTATTTTTTGTATTTTTAGTAGAGACGGGGTTTCACCATGCTGACCAGGCTGGTCTTGAACTCCTGACCTCGTGATCTGCCTGCCTCAGCCTCCCAAAGTGCTGGGATTGCAGGTGTGAGCCACCACGCCTGGCCAGAAGTTTTTAATATTAATGAAGTCCACCTTATCAATTTTTTCTTTCATGAATCATGCATTTGATATTATCTCAAAGTCATTGCCATTCCTAAGGTCATCTAAGTTTTCTCCTACGTTACATTCTAGTTTTATACATTTACATTTTATATTTAGATCTGTGATCTGTTTTGAGTTAATTTTTTTGATAGGTATAAAGTCTGTGTCTAGATTAATTTGCATGCGTATGTCCAGTTGTCATTTGTTAAGAAGACTATTTTTGCTCCATTGTATTACCTTTGCTTTTTTGTGAAAGATCAATTAACTGTATTTAATTGGGTCTGTTTCTGGATTCTTTATTCTGTTCCATTGATCTGTTTGTCTTTTCTTTTACCAATACCACATTTTTAAATTGGATTATTCTTTTCTTATTTGTATGTATTCTTTTTATATAGTGGTTAAGAACCGCTTCTATGTTAGATGCTATAGTTTCTTCTAGCCTGACTTACTTGATTTAATGAGCACTTATTACTTAGGTAGTGAAATCTTTTTCACATGGCTGTTAGCAGCTCTAGACTGGAAGTTTTGTTTCATATCCTGTAACTGTGTGACTTCAGCATCTAGCACCATGTCTGGTATAGATTAAGTATTCTATAAATCGTTTGCAATGAATGATGTATAAGACCTGACCTTTTTCTTCAAGGAATAGTGTCTTCAAGTCTAGTGCCACATAAAGTAGTCCAGAATTAAACAGTGAGGAAGGGGAAAAAAAAAAAGCGGAGTATCTGAATTGCATATTAAATTATGTGTTGTAGGAAAACTTACCTATTGGGAAACTTCTCTAAATTAGTTCTTTTCCCTAAACATTCTATTCCTCATTTTCTTTTTTTATTTACCTCTATCCTGAAAGTGAATTATTTTATATTAGCTTAAAAATGAATTTTCTATCAGCTATAATGGCAATATTTTATCTGCTTTTTTTGATATAGCTTGCTGAGTTTAGTCCAAATAGTCTTGTATTTTCTATTATACCCAAATTCAATTTTTAACGTGAATTCTAATTTTTTTTTCTTGCCATTTCAGGTAAGACCATGAATTATGGCATTTCTTAAATGAAGCACTCAAGAAGTGAGAGAATGTCATAGAAAATAAATGATTTTTAAGTTATGTCTATTAATCTGACTGTAGATATATATATTTACCTCCTTAGTAATGCAAGAAGTGTTTGTGGGAAGCAGAGAAGCAAGCAACTGCATTTCTTGTTCTCACCTAAGCATTGCTGGAGGATAAGCCACATCAGTCTACAAAGAGGTTTTCATACAAACATAATAAGATGTAAATGGACCAAAAGCGAAGCACATTCTTGCAGTAAGCACTGTTACTCTCCAAGCAACCATGGTTTACATATTGGAATTTTGAAACTTAGCACTTCTGCTCCCAAGGGACTTACAAAAGTGAACATTTGTATGTCCCGTATTAAAAGTACTTTGAACTCTGTTTCAAAGGCTATTTTTGGCAATCGAAATGAAATGATTTCACGTTTAGCTCAATTTAAGCCAAGTTCCCAAATATTAAGAAAAGTATCAGATAGTGGCTGGTTAAAACAGAAAAACATTAAACAAGCCATCAAATCTCTGAAAAAATATAGTGACAAATCAGCAGAAAAGAGTCCTTTTCCAGAAGAGAAAAGTCACATTATAGACAAAGAAGAAACTAGAGGTAAACGCAGTCTTTTTCATTACACAAATATTATAACCACAAAATTTGGAGAGTCATTCTACTTTTTATCAAATCATATTAATTCATACTTCAAACGTAAGGAAAAAATGTCTCAAGAAAAGGAAAATGAACATTTCCAGGACAAATCAAAACTTGAAGATAAAGAGGTGGAAGAGGGGAAATTAAGTTCTCCAGATCCTGGCATCCTGGCTTACAAGCCAGACTCAGAGTCTTTAGATACTGTGGACAAGCCTACAAGTCCTTCTGCGATACCTGATGTTCTTCCAATTTCAACTAAACAAAGTATTGCTAACTTACTTTCTCGTCCCACTGAAGGTGTACAAGCTTTAGTAGGTGGTTATATTGGTGGACTTGTCCCCAAATTAAAGTATGATTCTAAGAGTCAGTCAGAAGAACAGGAAGAGCCTGCTAAAACTGATCAGGCTGTGAGCAGAGACAGAAATGCAGAGGAGAAAAAGCGTTTATCTCTTCAGCGAGAAAAGGCGAGTTGTTCAGTGTGCTTTTTGGTTCTATTACTTTTTGCCAAATTTATAAGTTTTATTTCCTAGTGAGAACTAAGAAACTTGAATTGTTCTTTAGAGCAGTTTTGTATTCTAATCATATATATTTAATATGTCTTTGTAGATTATCGCAAGGGTGAGTATTGATAACAGGACCCGGGCATTAGTTCAGGCATTAAGAAGAACAACTGACCCAAAACTCTGCATTACTAGGGTTGAAGAACTGACTTTTCATCTTCTAGAATTTCCTGAAGGAAAAGGAGTGGCTGTCAAGGTAATTTCTAATTTATTTAATCTGGTTTTGTCTTGGAATAAAAATACTAAAAAGTCTTCTAAAATGGAGAAGGCAAAGCCATTCATTTTTCTATTTTAATTTTGTGGTTTTTATTATACATGTGATGTATATTCCGTAATTACCCTATTTATTTTGTGACATACATTATGCTAATCATTTTATTTTGTTAGCACCAATATGTATACATGAAATTAAACATTTATAAAATAGAAAATAATCAGTGTATTAGTTGAATTGCCTAACAGCTGCCAGAGTTTTCTTCAGAGCAATGTAAATATTTATACTATGTAACTATGCTTTTAAGCTAGGAGACATAATTCATATGTAAGGCTGTTTTTATTTCATGGTCCTTTCATATTTGAAAGTCTAAAAATTTTAATGACCTTACTCATAATTGAATTAGTAATTATATTAAGTAAAACAATGAGCTTTTCTTTGCCTCAGTTTTTCAATTATAAAATAATGAGGATAATTTAGACCCATTTATATGGACTGTTTTCAAAGCAGTACTATAAAATATGACCAATGTGATTGAGTCTCTTTACATCTATATTATTGAGACTATTTGTAATATTTCATGAAAAATTTGAAAATATAATGATAGATATCGCTTAAATTTCATTAGAAATCTCTTAGTGCTTATTTTTAGCTTGCCATTCAGAAAATTGTTTTAATTTAGATTGTATTTATTTGACTTTTTAACAATTATCTTGCTGAAGAATTGTCTTTGAATAATGTACCCATCCTTAATTGTGTATTGTATAACACATACATTATTATAGTTAGCTTCAGTATTTTATGGTCCTACAATTTAGGATTATATTTTATATTTATATAATCTCTTGCATAAAAGATAAGATTCTCAAATATACATATGCTTTTAAGTATATTTCACATTTCAGTGATATACTGAAAGCAAAGGTTTTTAAATAGAATTACATACTGGCTTAGTCCATTTGGGCTGTCATAATAAAATACCTTAGCCTGGGTGATTTATAAAAAACAGAAATTTATTTCTCATAGTTCAAAATGAGAACTGGGCAGTCCAAAATCAAGGCACCAACAATTTGATGAGAGTCCCGTTCCTCCTAGACAGCAGCTTCTCATGGCCTACTTACATGGCAGAAGGGCAAGGGGGCTCACTTCAACCTCTTTTACAAGGCCAGTTGTACTACTGATGGATTTCTGAGTAGTTTTCAGTTGTAGTTTATTATTAAATAGTCTTGCTAATTGAAACTCTGAGCACTCTTTTATCTTGCATAACTGATCCCAAATCTAAGGACCTTTCAATACTATGAACAAATGTGATGGGAATGTATATCCAGATCAATTATGAATAAAAGTCTAGATAGTCTGAAAAAACTCGTCACCCTTCCCTTAAATAATCATCTGAAAAACAGTGAACTGGACAAGTTGCGTAAAACATGTCGGCTTGTACGCTCTAGTGTGAACTTTTCCAGCTAAACTTTTTGTTATTATCAAGAGTTGAGCTTTTTAAAAATGATAGAATTTTTATAAAACATCTGTATGAATTTTACTTTTTTATGTGTCTGCCATACTTATGGTAGCTAAATACAGTGAATTATGTCTGATATGTAATGCCCTAAAAAAAATTGAGTTACTTATTTTGTATGCTACATTTATGGCAGTCACATTTAGGGAATTGTCTGTGATAATTTTTTTCACTGTTTGTGATGAAGGTGGTCTCCTTTCATTATGTTTTTTAATTAAAAAGAAGAACTTTGACCATTTAGAAAGAAGGCAGCACAAAGCATCGTAGGGAATTAGAAAAAAGAAAAGATAAGAAAATAAAAATAATATATTTTTACTACCCTCAGATTGCCACTGTAATGTATTAGAGTTTATTTGTGTTCATTGGATTAAGCTGCCTTAAGCTCTAATAGCAAACAACACCAAAATCTCAGTGACTTAACAAAACAGTTTTATTTCTGGCTCATGCAAAGTCAACTGTGAATTTGGGTGACTCTTTGGCACAGTGAACCTCAGTGTGGTGGTTACTAAGATCCTGTCCTGTTGTCTGTATTTTAATTAAGTCTTCCTCTATGATTTCTATGACAAGGAAAGAATATTTCAGCAGAAGTTGCCACAGGTTTCTTCTACTCGCAGTCTGTTTATCCTTTCTGATTGCATGGGCCTGAAAAGTACAACCTTCTGTATGCTTGGAAGGGGAAGCAAACTGGGTGTTGGTGAACATTAGTAATGTCTGCCACAGTATTCCTTCAGAAATTATTCTATGCACATATATACCAAAATAAACTCATTCTGTATATGTTGTTTATAATCTGGTTTTTTAGCATATAATGTATACCTTTCTATATCAGTAAATGTTCCTTTATCCTGTACCCAGTTTGAAAATGTTCTTTACGTAACTGATTAGATCCAAATGAGGGCCCAGTCTAGATCATCTAGATCACACATTGCATCTGACTGTTTCTCCAAGTCACTTAAAATATAATGCAGTCCTTCAGCCACACCTTCTTCACCTGCACCTTTAAAACTGACTTAATTCAAGACATCAGGCTGGTTAACAGGCAGAATGACTTACTTTCTGGATGTACTTGCCTTCTTTCTCAATGTTACTTGAAGTGTTCCTCTTTCCTTTTCATTTCCTGAACATTGGAATTTAAATATAATGGCTTGATTGAGTTAAACATTTTGTTGTTAGAGCACATTGTAGGTAATGTCATGTGCCTCATAATGCGTCACATCAAGACACACATGACAATTAGTTGAACAACCATTAGTAATGCTAAGGATGACCACCGGGTTAAGGTGATGACAATCTGCTTCTCATTGGACAGTTGTGCTAGTAGTATTATCTCATCAACCATTAACCTAATCATTTCCAGAACTAATAATTTCATTAGAGTTGCAGAATGACCAATGTCTAATTCTGTTACTCCTACATTATAATTGACATTCTTCTGTAAAGTACAGCCTTCTTTCATCAACTGAAGCTATTTGGGTATTCTCAAAGGCAAATTTTACAGGAAAGGAAAGAGAAATGCTTAATTTCCTTGTATTTAGTTACCAGTTTTCAAAATAAGGTGTTGCTTTAATAGCTGCCTCAGTGATTAAATGAATTTTTTTACACCTTTAAAATAATATTATGGACTCCTTGTTTTTCTAAGTTAAATGTGTTTGTTTTTCTTTTTTTGGGAGACAGAGTCTCTGTCACCCAGGCTGGAATGCAGTGCCACAGTCTTCACTCACTGCAACTTCTGCCTCCCAGGTTCAGCCCAGCTCAGCCTCCTGAGTAGCTGGGACCACAGGCATGTGCCACCACACCCAACTAATTTTTGTATTTTTTGTAGACAGAGGGTCTCACCATGTTGCCCAGGTTGGCCTCGAATTCTTGGGCTCAGGCAATCTGCCTGCTTTGCCCGCGGTACTGAGATTATAGGTGTAAGCCACCTCACCCAGCTTATTTCTTTCTTTCTTTCTTTTTTTTTTTTTTTTTTTGAGATAGAGTCTCGCTCTGTCGCCAGGCTGGAGTGCAGCAGTGCGATCTCAGCTCACTGCAACCTCCGCCTGCTGGGTTCAAGGGATTCTCCTGCCTCAACATCCCAAGTAGCTGGGACTACAAGTGCCCACCACCATGCTCAGCTAATTTTTGTATTTTTAGTAGAGACGGGGTTTCACCATGTTGGCCAGGCTTGTCTCGATCTCCTGACCTCAGATGATCCACCTGCCTCGGTGTCCCAAAGTGCTGGGTTTACAGGTGTGAGCCACCGCTCCCGGCCTCGCCCACCCTGTTTCTATGTTCTATTTTCTCCCCCTCTCTGTTTTAAAATGCTGAATTTGTCACAAGGATTCATACATCCTTTAGGTTTATTAAAAAGCTTTTTATAAAAATGTTATATATAGAAAACAACACAAATCATAAGTTTACAGCTCCATGATTTTTCACACATGAAGTACATCTATATAACCACTACCCTGAATGAGAAACAATCTTATGAACACTCCAAATACTGTCCCCAAAAAGGTTGATCCGTTTTTCAGAATTCTAGCAGCATAATTTAGTTGTGCCTCTTTTTGCTTGTTATATGAATGATAAGCATGTGTTCTTACATGTCTGGTTTTTTTTTCACTCCATATTATGTTTGTGAGAACCTTCTATGTTGTTGGGTATACTTTTCATTTTTCCCTCTACTGCTAGACATTTGGATGGTTTGCAGTTTGGGAATATTTAGGAGTACTACCTCTGGGTTATATGTTTTGGAAAACACAGGTCTTCGTTTCTTTGGGGTATATACTATTGCTGCTCACAGAGTGAGCATATTTGTATCATTAGTAGATACTGCCAAATGGTTTTGCATAGTGCTGGTGCCAATTTATTCTTTCACCAGAATTATATGAGGACTCTGTGTTCTACTTTCTCTCCAACACTTTATTTTGTAATCTTTTTTCGAGACTGAGTGTTGCTCTGTCGTCCAGGCTGGAGTGCAGTGGTGCGTTCTCGGCTTGCTGCAACCTCCACCTCCTGGGTTCAAGCAATTCTCCTGCCTCAGCCTCCCTAGTAGCTGGGATTACAGGCACCCACCAGCACACCCGGCTAATTTTTGGTTTTTTAGTAGAGACAGGGTTTCACATGTTGGTCAGGCAGGTCTTGAACACCTGATGTCAAGTAATCTGCCCGCTTTGGCCTCCCAAAGTGTTGGGATTATAGCCGTGAGCCACCGCACCCAACCTTTTTAAATCTTTTCAATTTGAGCAGGTTTTTTTGGTGTTAAGTGATATTAAATTGTGGTTTTAATTTTTTATTTCATTGATAGCTATGACATTCAACATCTTTTCCATGGTTTATTGGCCGTGTTTATACTTCCTTGTGAAGTACCTATTCCAGATCTTGCCTGTTCTTCCGTTGGGTTGACCAACTTTTTCTTCATTATTTGTAGAATTTAAAAAGTATATTATGGTTGTAACTGACTTGTCATGTGTGGTGTGTATATGTATGTCTTACAAATATGTTCTCCTATTCTGTGGCTGACCTTTTCACTCTTGTGTTTTTTGATAAACAGATATTCTTAATTTTTTCTAATTTATAATTTGTTTTTTTTTTTTTTTTTTTTGAGACGGAATCTCGCTCTGTCGCCCAGGCTAGAGTGCAATGGCGCAATCTGGGCTCACTGCAAGCTCCGCCTCCCAGGTTCACGCCATTCTCTTGCCTCAGCCTCCCGAGTAGCTGGGACTACAGGCGCCCACCACCAAGCCCGGCTAATTTTTTTGCATTTTTTTAGTAGCGACAGGTTTCACCGGGTTAGCCAGGATGGTCTTGATCTCCTGGCCTCGTGATCCGCCTGTCTCCGCCTCCCAAAGTGCTGGGTTTAGAGGCGTGAGCCACCGTGCCCAGTCAATACTTTTCTTTATGGTTAGTATTTTGTGTCCTGTTTAAGAAATCTTTGCCTATCCTAAAGTCATAAAAGCATTTTTGGCCAGGCGCCGTGGCTCAGGCCTGTAATCCCAGCACTGTGGGAGGCTGAGGTAGGCGGCTGAGGTGGGTGGATCACGAGGTCAAGAGATCAAGACCATCCTGGCCAACATGGTGAAACCTCATCTCTACTAAAAATACAAAAAATTAGCTGGGCTTGGTGGTGTGCACCTGTAGTCCCAGCTGCTTGGGAGACTGAGGCAGGAGAATGGCTTGAACCCGGGAGGCGAAGGTTGCAGTGAGCCGAGATTGCGCCACTGCACTCCAGCCAGGGCAACAGAGCAAGATTCTGTCTCAAAAAAATATATATATACACACACATAAATTTTCCTGTGTTTTCTTCTGAAACCTTGCTTTGCCTTTTACTCTTTTATCTACTATTCATCTAGAATAGATTTGGTTGTGTGGTGTGTGGCAGAAGTCCTGACTTAAAAAATACACTTATCCAGTTGACTCAGCACCATTTATTGAAAAGACCTTTATCATAAATGAGATGTATATATGGATCTGTTTCTAGACACAGTATTTTTTATTTATTTATTTTTTGAAATGGAGTTTCACTCTTGTTGCCCAGGCTGGAGTGCAGTGGCGCGATCGTGGCTCACCACAACCTCCGCCTCCCAGGTTCAAACGATTCTGTTGCCTCAGCCTGCCTAGTACCTGGGATTACAGGCATGCGCCACCATGCCCAGTTAATTTTGTATTTTTAGTAGAGATGGTTTTCTCCATGTTGGTCAGGCTGGTCTTGAACTCCCGACCTCAGGTGATGCACCCACCTCGGCTTCCTAAAGTGCTGGGATTACAGGTGTGAGTCACCATGCCTGACCAGATACAGTATTTTGTTCCACTGGTATATTTGTCTATTGTTGCTCTAATAGTACACTGGCTAAATTTTTGCAGCTTTATAAACTTAATATTAGGTAGTATAAATCCTCCAACCTTTTTCTTCTTAATATTGTTGGCTTGGCTATTCTTGACATGTTATATTTCTATATGAATTTTAGGATCAGCTTATCTACAAAAAAAATTTTAAAACAGAAAAACATGGTGGGATTGCAGTGAATATATGGAACAATTTAGGGTGAACTGGGTGTTTGTTGAGTTTCCAGGCTATGACATCTTTTTGTGGTTATTCTAATATGAACATCAATTCTTGGTTTTTGTCATTCGGTACTGGATTCACATGCTTTATAGTTTTTCTGGACGATGGAGATTGTAAATTTGAAAAATTGCATAGGCTGTAGATTATATCAAATTACATATTTTTCCAGGGTTTATTTGTTCTTCTGTTTAGCATTTGAGTGGAGCACAGATAGCCTTAATTGAGTTACGGTCAAATCTGGATCAAGGCTGTATTACAGTTTGGGTAAGACCTCTCTTTTGCCCTGATTTTAGGGCATATTCTTCTGGGGCTTTCAGTTGAGAGCCTGGTGTGTTCACTTAACCACCACCTCATTGGATCCTAAAATCTCAAGAATACAAAGCCTTCCACTCTGATTTTCACAGGTCTTCAGCTTACCTTTCGCCTTTCACACCTCCTGATTTTAGAATTCAGCAGATGTCTTGAGGTAAAGCTAGCCATGTGTTTGAAGCCCTTCAGGTCTTCTATTTTTTTTTTTCACTCCAAACCCCTTAGATGCTAAGTGATCAGCTGGTTTCTCTGTCGTTTATTTGGGGCCCTCTGTCTGATTCAGACTCAATTTTTTCATCCTTTACTTTTTCCTGGAATCAGCAAATGCCTCAAGGGAAGAAAAGCTATAGTTTACCAGCTCACTTCCTAGCAATTACTCCTTCTCCAGATTCTTGGCTCCATCTGTTCTTGTTGCTTCAGCAGCTCTCTGTCTGATGCCTTTAAACAGATGGTGCTTTTCTTGTATTTCATCAAGATTTTCTTGTTCTTAATGTGAGCATTGATCTCTAACACAGTGTTTCATCTTAACCGGAACTGGAAATTTGCATTATTCTCCACCATTGCTCAAGTTCCTCTAGTGGGGCCTCACAGCTCAACATTAGGGGAAAAAATATTGAGAAAGAATTTAGAGTATTTCAGATTGATTGATCATAAAAAGGAAACAAAATGAGTGATACCTAGGAAAGTTATTTGATTTACAGAAGGTTACACAGCAGAATTATAGCTGCCACTCAGCCATTCCATTAAACCTGGGGTACTGACTATGTAAGATGCTTCTGTGTACAGAAGCTAGAGAATCTTTGGTAAGCAACATAGAACTCTAGGATTTAAGCTCTTGTCTGTGATCAACAATATGATGTTGAGTGCTTAGAATCTTGAAGTCTCAGGTTTATTTAAACTGATTATTTAATTGTAGTAGCCTGTTTTTACCTTCTTACCTCCATTTTATTTGTTAACATTTGTTCCTATTCCTTTATGAGGCACCCTTGAATCCCCTATGCAATGTATATAAGATGGTTCATTATTTCTTTTTAATAACAGTTTAACTTCTAGTAGTTACTATGAATCCGTTTTAGAGTCTTAATCTCAGGATTTGTACAAAATATTATACAAAATTTATAATGTTAACCTTTTGTTGTAATACTTCGTGAATTTCTATAATTAAGTAAATTATATTTTCTTTAGTTAAGTATTACACCTTTTAATGAAAATATTTGAATAGAGGTTAATTTTTGTCCCAATATTAAAACAAATATAATCTAGATAATTGACATTAATATATCAAAAACTAATCTGTCTTATAAGATTACTGAGAAAGTAATGAACACTGTCACCTTGATTGTCATGTGATGAACTGCAGGTATTGGTTAATAATAATCATACATTTTCAGTCTTGATTTGACAAAAGCAATAAAGTATATTTTTTCTCAATATAGGAAAGAATTATTCCATATTTATTACGACTGAGACAAACTAAGGATGAAACTCTTCAGGCTGCAGTTAGAGAAATTTTGGCCCTAATTGGCTACGTGGATCCAGTGAAAGGGAGAGGAATCCGAATTCTCTCAATTGATGGTGGAGGAACAAGGTAAGGCTAGGAACATGATTCTTTTTTCTTTTTTTTTTTGAGATGGAGTTTCCCTCTGTTGACCAGGCTGGAGTGCAGTGGCACAATCTCAGCTCATTGCAGCCTCCGCCTCCCAGGTTCAAGTGATTCTTCTGCCTCACCCTCTCAATTAGCTGTGATTACAGCCTCCCGCCACCACACCCAGCTAATTTTTGTAGTTTTAGTAGAGATGGGGTTTCACCATGTTGGCCAGGCTGGTCTCGAACTCCTGACGTCAGGTGATCTGCCTGCCTTGGCCTCCCAAAGTGCTAGGATTATAGGCACGAGCCACCACACACAGCTGGAACATGGTTCTTAAAAACTACAGATTCAATTCAGCTTTAGGAATTTAAAAAAATGATTTGATATATCATTATAAAATCAGATTTTTTAAATAAAACATGAAATTGTTGTAATTAATCTAAGTGCTACTCTGACATATACTTCAATTCTTACTTTGGTTTGATTTAGTATTTATATTTTCATATTTTATTTTATTTTATTTTAGTATTTCTATTTTTATATTTGACCTTTTTAGACCTTTTTGGTAGTTTAGAAGCCTATCAACCATTATTCTCATAAAATCTTGACAGTGTTTTATAATTTTAGCTTTCTTTTATTATTTTATTTTATTTTTTTGGAGATAAAGTCTTGCTCTGTTGCCCAGGCTGGAGTGCAGTGGCGCAATCTCATATCACTGCCACCTCTGCCTCCCAAGTTCAAGCAATTCTCCTGTCTCAGCCTCCCAAGTAGCTGGGATTATAGGTGTCCGCCACCATGCCTGGCTAATTTTTTGTATTGTTAGTAGAGACGTGGTTTCACCATGTTGTCTAGGCTGGTCTTGAACTCCTGACCTCAGATAAACCACCTGCCTCAGCCCCCCAAAGTGCTGGGATTACAGGCGTGAGCCACCGCACCCAGCCAGCTTTCTTTTATCACACTTATCTTACCCATATATATCCACTAGTCACTTGATAAAGTGATGGTTGCAAAATGAGGCTATATTAACTTCCTGACTTCTGATGTCTTCACTTGGAGATGCCAGTTCTGGTGCTATATAAGAAATAAATTCATTCTTTGTTCAGAAGGAGATAATTTCACTCTTAAGCTCTATTTTTACTACTGGTAATCCATCCATGCTTCCTACTCAAGTCTTTGTTTATCTAGTTTCTTCCAACTTCTTGGTTAGATTTTTTGGCTTGGTTTTTCAAACCTTTTCCCCAAAATCTTCTAGCTCATTCTCTAGTTCCCTGCCATCCCTACTGCTACCTCATAATTCATAGTACATGCCCTGCCTATTGTTCTTAGCTTTAACTTACCTCCCTGATTTTGCTTTTTGGTATACCCAACTTGCCAACCACTCTTCTGTATGTTCAAGTACTACCCTGTATCGTTTTGTTAAATTCCTTGGTTCTCTATTCACCCGAGTCCTTTATACTTTGACATCAATATGAAGGAAGGAGTAAATAATGAGAGAAGGAAGCTAACCTCAGATGGTGGCAGTGGAAGGCAGGAGGAAGGAAAAACATACCAGTAACTTTTTTTGAGATGGAGTTTTGCTCTTGTTGCCCAGGCTGGAGTGCGGTGACATGCTCTCGGCTCACTGCAACCTCCACCTCCCAGGTTCAAGTGATCAGTTCCCCCACTGCAGCCTCCCAAGTAGCTGGGATTATAGACATGCACTACCACACCCGGCTACTTTTGTATTTTTAGTAGACACGGGGTTTCACCATGTTGGCAATTCTGGTCTCAAGCTCCTGACCTCAGGTAATCCACCCACCTCAGCCTCACAAAGTGCTGGGATTACACGTATGAGCTACCACGCCCAGCCAATACCAGTAACTTTTAAGAAACATGGAGACAGGATATGGTAGACATAGGTCAAGATCACTCTAAGTGTAAACCTGTGTGTGACTGGGACAGAATTGCAGGGAATCTCAACAGATTGGTGTTGAGGAAAGACAGTTTTTTCTTGAACATATTTAATATAAGATTATATCCATACAGAAGTGCTCGGTTGTCAAAAGCCCACTGAAGAGAGAACAATCTTAAAAGATCTTAGAGGATGTTTCTTAAGAAAGTGAATAATGTTAAGAAGGTGTATGTCATTCATGTGATATAGATACAGTGATAACTGGAGAGATTATTCTAGTTCATAGAATTGGTTCCAAATGGTGAGAAATAAGGAAAATGGCAGTTAAATGAGTAGAAGCATTTCACTAAGGAGCAGAAGGAATCCTTTCTGCCATTAAGTTCAGGGGAATTGCGACAGGTAGTGTCATTGATTGAGTCAGCTAACAGACATTGGGTGCCTACTATGTTGTAAGCCCTGATTTAGATCCTGGGGACAGTGAGCAAACAAAACAATACAGTGTTTGCATTGTAGAGGAGGAAAAAGACAACAAATAGAAAAACAAAAATATGTTATTTTGGCTGCTATGGAGAAAAATAAAGCAAAGTAAAGGGACAGAGAGGAAGAGTACTATTTTAAAGAATGCTCAGGACCAAGACTTCTTTTTAAAGAAGTTATATTTATGTAGAGATAGGAAGGAAGAAAATTAAAGAACATTCAGATGTCTGTTTAAGGTCAGACAAGCATGATGAAAAAGAAGTTTGTATCCAATAAATAGTTTATCTTGTAGAATAAGAGTTGTATTAGTCATATAAGGAGGAAATCAGTGTGAGGTAATTTGGGAAAATCTAGGGGTGGGTTAGGATGAAGTTAGGTTTAGATTTGTAATTCTCCACTGGAGGTGATTTTGCCCCCTAAAGGACATTTGGCAGTGTCTGGAGACATTTTTGGTTGTCATAACTAGGGCACTGCCACTTTCATCTAGTTTGAAGAGGACAGTTGTGACTAAACATGATACAGTGCACAGGACAGCCCCGCAAAACAAAGGCTATCCAACCCAGAATGTCAGCAGTGCTGCTGTTGAGAAAACTTGGTTTAGGGGAATATGGGAAAGCAGCCTGAATGGGAGGTTTGTGTGGAAAGCAGTAATGTATGAGGGCTTGAGAGAAGAAATAAAAAACCCTATCTTTTACTTCTTTGGTATAAGAGAACCTACAGTGGTAGGCATAGACAGCTGTGGCAACTTGGCAAATATATATGTATTTACATTCATGCAGAGTTTATGAACACAACATTTTAAATAGTTAATTTTCCCAATTATACGAGTAGTTAGAAAAACCTGAGAGAGAAAAAAATCCCTAAAACCATAGCTCACAACTCTAAGATTATTTTAGTATTTTGATTAATTTTCTTCTAATATTTTTCTTTGTGAACATATATGTGCCTATTTTATTTCCTTTTTGTGATAGTGGAGGTCATTGTTAAATATATTGTATCCATTACATTTAATTCATCATCTTGCCTTGAATTAATAATGTATCTCTTTCATAAGACATCTTCTTAACTCTCCTCAAATCCACATAATTTGTTGTATTTAAAAGATCAGCATCTTTGGTTTTCTACTTTAATCTTACAGAATTTTCTAGTTACTTCCTGTTAACATTATCAAGGCACAATTTGACACTCTAAATTTTTTGGTGCCTACCTACCTTTGTGTTCCAGGACTTACCTACCCCCTACCTTGTGTTGGGAATAGAGCTTTTCATCGTTTTTTTGTATTCTCCCACTGTTAAAAATTGTCATGATACACACATGAGAGTTTGCATGGTACGTACACCCTCAATTGGTCTATATCTCCTAAGCTTTTTCATCGTTTCGCTTTCGTTCATGAAGCTATTAACTGCTGTTGGCAAGGATTCAGAAATGAGCAAAGTCAGCAACATTAATTAATATATCATTAATGTAGAGGGTTATCCTAAAGTTATTGAAAGTTTTTAAAAATGAATAAAGAAAAGGGAGCTTAAAAATCTGACTGGTGGCCAGGCGCGGTGGCTCGCGCCTGTAATCCTAGCACTTTGGGAGGCCGAGGTGGGCGGATCATGAGGTCAGGAGATCGAGACCATCCTGGCTAACACGGTGAAACCCCGTCTCTACTAAAAATAAAAAAATTTAAAAAAAAATTAGCCAGGCGTGATGGCGGGCACCTGTAGTCCCAGCTACTCGGGAGGCTGAGGCAGGAGAATGATGTGAACCCAGGAGGTGGCACTTGCAGGGAGTCTAGTGAGCCACTGCACTCCAGCCTGGGCAGTCTCAAAAAAACAACAACAACAAAAATCTGACTGGTGAAATATGTAAGTTAAAAATGTATAGAGTCATAGGTGACCAACTATATTAGTAAGAGAAGAAACCAAGGTATGGCTTCCAAAACCAGTGAGTGAGTTTTTAAGTGTTTTCCAGAGTTGTTTTTTTTTTTTTCAATTTTATATTGGCATATCTTTGTATTCTTCCTTAGTTGTTTGTTGGTTTTTGGCATTCTTAAGAAGTGTATTTGGGCAGATTTCTTCTTCTTTTTACTTTTTTTTTCTGTAGAAATGGGGTCTCACTGTATTGTTCAGCTGGTCTTGAACTCCTGGCCTCAAGTGATCCTCTTACCTCAGCCTCCCAAAGCTCTGGGATTACAGGAAAGAGCCGCTGCCTGACCGGATTTATTCTTATTTAAAGAGATACTGTTTTGCAGAAGGATGGGTTCAGTGAAAAAACAAGAGAGAGACACTAGTATAAATTTTAAAATGTGCTGCCATAGTGTAGGTTTTGTATCATTTAGATATTAGATTTTCAAAAGTAATCCTAAAAATTTGGACAGGCAATTTTTACTGATTCTGATTTATATTTTTAATTTTCATGTTAGCATATAAACTACAAAAGCAATTCTTAAATTGTTTTATTCAACGGCTTAAATTATTTTTTCTTTAAACAGGAATTGTCATTTTGCCTTTAATCTTTTCTATAGGGGCGTGGTTGCTCTCCAGACCCTACGAAAATTAGTTGAACTTACTCAGAAGCCAGTTCATCAGCTCTTTGATTACATTTGTGGTGTAAGCACAGGTAATTATTATATGGAAGTGGTGCATTCTGGCAGTACATTAAGGAAGAGAACATTAAGTACTTATGTTTAAGATCATAGTCCTTTGCCTCCTCTAGCCCTCTCTCCATACCCCAAAAATTTCTCCTCCCGTTTCTCTTTTGTTCATGGTTATGCCATTTAGGCACACTAGGTGGCAGTGTGTCCTACCAATTATAGCTAGATATGGAATCAGCTGTTTAAAAGGACATCCAAGAGTACCTAATATCTTTAATTACATTGGTTCCTAGGACTAACTTGAAGGAGAATCGCTTAGTGACTTGGTGAGTTGTCAAATATACCATATTTTATGACTAAAACTAAGTAATTTATTGATGTTAGAAAGAACGTGAGTTATCTACCATGTCTTATATATAATTTAATGTAAAACAACACATTTGTAAATATTTTTAAATTATTATTTTCATTATTTAATCCTTTTTGAGCATTTATTTAATCCTTTTTGGGACCTAGTAAATCCCTTTACATTTGTTAACCCAGTACAAGAGACATGAATTTTGGTTTTTCTTATTACTCCCATTTTACACCTGAAAAAAATGGGGCTCTGAGAAGGAAAGTCATTTGTCCCAGGTGACATAGCTAGAAAGTATCAACTCTAAATTTAAGCCAAAACTATGATTCAGGAGATCTTATCAGCATAAGGGCTATAACTTAACACTGATAAAAACTAAGAATTCTTTTTTCCAGGTGCCATATTAGCTTTCATGTTGGGGTTGTTTCATATGCCCTTGGATGAATGTGAGGAACTTTATCGAAAATTAGGATCAGATGTATTTTCACAAAATGTCATTGTTGGAACAGTCAAAATGAGTTGGAGCCATGCATTTTATGACAGTCAAGCATGGGAAAACATTCTTAGGTAAGTTACAATTACTCTTTTTAAATGTTCTGATTATATAGGTAGTATGTGCATATTATAATTTCAAAAATAAGAATATTAAATTATATTCTTGCATAATTTGAAAAATATCAAGAATATTAAATTATTCTACTAATTACAGATAACCATTGTTAGTATTTTGGTGAATTATAGTTTAATAATTGTTTTGGGGGGTTCATGTGTGTGAGATTTGCATGTAAAAGTTACAATTGCCTTTTTAAAAAATATGAGATATTTGCATCCTGTTGTTTTTACTTAACATATTAAATGTGTCTCAAGTCATTCTAAAATATTCAATTATTTTTATTTTTATTTATTTTTTGACACACGCTGTCACTCCCGTTGCCCAGGGTAGAGTACAGTGGTACTGTCTTGGCTCACTGCAGCCTCAACTTCCCTGGCTCAAGTGATCCTCCCACCTCAGCCTCCCAAGTAGCTGGGACCACAGGTGTGCACCACCATGCCCAGCTAATTTTTGTATTTTTAGTAGAGACAAGGTTTCACCATGTTGCTCAGGCTCCTAACCTCAAGTGATCCGCCTGCCTCCCAAAGTGTATATAAGCATACAATATAAGCATAAAATCATCCACAATCCTATTATTCAGAGCTGTAGACTTTAATATATTTCCTTCTAGTTTTTTATTAGACCATAAACATTTTGTATAGCTGAGATTAGATTGTAGTTGTAAATTTGTATCCTTTTCCTTTTCCCAAACATCCTTAAAATCTCCTGACATATTTTTAAAGACTATACTATACTGCAGAGTGGGATGTTACATTTTCTTAATCATTTCCATTTAGGATTTTTATGGACATTTAGGACATTTATGTTCCTAATTTTTTGGGATTATGAACGATGCTGTCATAGAAAACTTTAAATTTCTTCTCACATTTCAGAATATATCAGTAGGTCACTATATAAGAAGCATATTTATTGGGTCTAATGTTGATGTCTTCTTAAAATAATTATTACATAGGAAATAGAAAATATATCGAGAAAACAATAAAAATAATTTATAATCCCACTAAGAACAAAAGCACTATTAACATGGTGATGTATTTTTTCCTGTAATTTCTTACAAGTGTATATGTGTGTAGTTGTGAGTGTGGGTGTATCCATCCTCTTTACAAAATTCAGATAATGCACATGTAGTCTTGAGTCCTGCGTTTTCACTTAGCATTTTATCACAGATGATTTCCTATGTCAGTTAATATGTTTTGAAACATATTAATGGTTCTTCACCATTTTATGGATGTACTATTTTTTATTTAACAAATCCTCTTTTAGAAAACGATAAGGTAATTTTCTAGAAGTAAAATTGTGGGTCAGAGGATATGCCTGTTTTAACAATCTTGATACATACATAGCTGAATTTGTTCTTCAATACAGTGGTTTTAGCTTACTCATCCAGCAACATCAACATGTATTTCTGTTTCATGAAATACTCGTGAACACCAGACACTTAATGTTTAAAATGACATCAGTTTGAGAGATTTTGAAACTCATGTTTCAATTTGTATCACTTTCATTATTGATGAGTTTGAACTTAGTTTTGGTTTTTGATGGCTTTTTATTATTTTTTTGTGAATTTTGAGGGCATAATTTTTGCCTGTTTTCTCATGGGATATTCCTCAATGTGTTGTAAATATATTAACCATATATTGCAAAAGTGCTTTCTAATTAATAATTTTTTAATGTAGCGGATTGAAACATCTTCATTTAGCCAAATCTTTTCCTTTAAAGATTTTTAGCTTTTATGTTTGTAAGTCTTTCCTATAATCCTACTATTGGGTATATACCCAAAGGAAAATAATTCATTCCGTCAAAAAGACACATGCACTCATGTGTTCATCATAGCACTGTTCACAATGGCAGATACAAGGAATCAACCTAGGTGCCCATCAACATTGGATTGGATAAAGAAAATGTGGCACATATACATTGTGGAATACTATGCAGGTATAAAAAAAATGAAATCATGTCCTTTGCAGCAACATGGTTGGCACCGGAGGCCATTATAATAAGCAACTTAACACAAAAACATAAAGCCAAATACCACATGTTCTTTCCTACAAGTGAGAGCTAAACGTTGAATATACATGAACATAAAGATGGGAACAGTTGACACTGGGGACCATTAGACGGGAGGGAGAGGGGGAGTGTGAGCTGAAGAACCACTTGTTGGATATTGTGCTTACTGCCTAGGTGATAGGATCGTTGGGACCCCAAGCCTTAGTGACACACAGTTTACCCATTAACAAACCTGCATGCATACTCTTTATACTAAAAGTTTAAATTTAAAAAAAAAAAGCCTTTTCTACCCTGAAGGTAGATAAATATTTGTATTATTTCCTAGTTCTAAAGTTTTCAGTTTATATGTAATTCTGAAGTTACCTAAAACTTATTGTGATATATGTTGTAAGGTAATCAAGCTTTATTTTTTTAATCAAATGTTAATCCAAAGTCCCAGCTCCCTTTACCAAGTGTCTTTTTTTTTTTTAACTGATTTGAAACATCATCTTTATCATATTTGAAATTCTTATCTATATTAGAATCTATGTTCAAGTTTTTGGTTTCTCTATGGATTTATTTTTGTACAAATTCTGCAAATTTAGTTGTTGAACCTTTGCATAATATTTTTATAATGATATAGCATAGCAAATCTTTTCTCCTTATTCTTCTTTTACACAATTTTCATTTAATCTTCAAAGTTAATCTTAGGCTACTTTTATCACGTAAAAAAATATTCCACTGGTATTTGGATGGAAATTATATGAAACGTATCACTTATTTTGTGGAACATTGACATCTTTCTAATCGTGAAATCTTCCCATCCATTATCATTGTATGTTACTTATTTTCACATCTTTTGTGTCTATTAGAAAATATAGTTCACCATCCTGGCTAACAGGGTGAAACCCCATCTCTACTAAAAATACAAAAAAAAAAAAATTAGCCGGGCATGGGGGCGGGCACCTGTAGTCCCAGCTACTCGGGAGGCTGACGCAGGAGAATGGCATGAACCCAGGAGGTGGAGTTTGCTGTGAGCCGAGATCACAGCACTGCACTCCAGCCTGGGCAACAGAGTGAGACTCCGTCTCAAAAAAAAAAAAAGAAAAAAATATATATATACATATATGTACACATATATATATATAAAATATCTATTCCCAGATTCATTTGATCAATACTTTTTATTAAGATTATTTAATGAAAATTTAAAAATTTATTCTAAAACCAGTTTCTCTACTATGAAATTTTTTTCCTTTTGTTACTTATGAGAGTATCTTTGCATATTTGTGTATTGCTGTCTCATTTTTACTCTTCTAGAAACTTCTTTATTTTTAATCATAACACTGATAAATTTTATCAGTGTGGTTAGTTGTTTTTCTTTCTCTGCTTTTTCAAATTCAGCCTTTGCTGCAGAATAAGCCACTCCAAAACTTAGTGGCTTAAAGCAATGATTATTTAGTCTCATGACTCTGTGGTTTGACTGGGTGTTTCTTCTGTTCTTGACTGAGCTCACTTGGTGACTCAGCTAATGGGCCTGGGAAGTCTCTCTCTCCACCTGGTCATTCTTACCCAAGCTTTGTCTCATCGTTGTGGTTTCAGAGTTCCCAGAGGGCAAACCCCAGTGGATAAGCACTTATCAAGCCTCAGTTTAATGGCATGTTTGCTGAGGTCACATGGACTGAAAGCCATGCCAACCAAGAGTCTGTAGGAAGAGACTATATACAACGACATGGATACCAGGACTATGATTCACTGGGTGCCATTGTTGTTAATATTCTTCTCTACCTACCTTCTGGCCTTTTTTGTCATAGCATTTTTTTCCCCTCATTGTTTATTGAGAGGACTTTTTTTTTTCCTGTGATAATTTTGTGTTATTTTAAGGGAACTATTTTATGGCATCAGTAGAATCTAGGCATGTTGATTTTTTTTTTTCATATTTTGGCATCTCAGACATAAACAATTACCATTACTTTCTTTACAAATTTATATTCATAAGTTAATTCACTGAAACCTTTTTAGCTTTTGATAAAATCAAGATTTAAACAAAAATAAAAAAAAATAAATATGAACTTTGCCAAAAAGTGTGAAAGCAGCATGCTCCTAGGATTTCTCATGTAATTTTACAGTAAGAATTCTATGAAAAGACAAAGAACCTTAAAAAGATAAAATGCATGGATCTTCGTGTGGTAGAAATGTATAGATAAGGTTGGGGAAGACAAAAGATCTTGTCGATTTTAGAAAGTACTTTACATTGATATTTATTAAAGCTTATAAAGGGTAGATCACTAAGCAGCTTGTAAATATTCTTTTTATGAAATTCACTAATATTCTAGTTGAGAAACATGAGTATTGTTTGAAAAACACATTAGAAAATGGTTTTACTCCTGAGGAAGGTTGGTGAAACCATACATAGCCTTTGTATTCAATATAGGGAAAATACAGAATTTTTAAGTCTGGGAAAGTCTGCATTGAAATAAAATTCTCTTACTATGGAATTGCAAAAATTGCTGCCCAAGGACAATTTCTGTAATGTCATAGTAATTCAAATGCCAACTCTGATGATTTTCAAAGCAGTTTTCTTGATGACATTGGCTCTTACCAACTAAAACAAGCTTCAAGTCTCATTGTCCTCACCTCGTTACTCTAACTAGCCCATGCATACTTCTGCAGTCTTATCTCAACACAGCTCCTTTATCCTGTTGGCAGGACCCTGAAAACAACAGATTTCTTTTGCCTTTGTGCCTTTAATCTGTATACGTCCTAGCTTTAAATATGTTGCCTTGAAGTCTTTCAGTGTCTTCCTCAAGCTAATTTCCTGCATCTTTTCCAGTTACTGTCCCTCTATTGGTTGCTCCACTTCAGAACTATAGATACTTGCAGTTTGAATCAGAGTTGATAAATAACTGCATATTGTTTCATGTGCATTAATGGGATTATAAGCCTCCTAGAGGAGAGTCTTACATTTTTTCTCTCATAGCACTTTGACAAAGCCATGGACAAACAATAATTGCATACTGTATGTTTCCTGGTTGTTAGGAGATAAAGTCATTTTGATGTAACTTATTTTTTCTCTTTTAATAAAGGGATAGAATGGGATCTGCACTGATGATTGAAACAGCAAGAAACCCCACATGTCCCAAGGTAAGCTTAGAGTCTCCTAAATATAACACCTAGTTCCATCTGAAGGTCTGGTGAAAGCACTTGTCCTGAGGGCCCTTTTATTTTATTGTTTTTTTTTTTTTTTTTTTTTTTTTTTTTTTTGAGACGGAATTTAACTCTTATTGCCTGGCTGGAGTGCAATAGCGCAATCTTGGCTCACCGCAACCTCCGTCTCCCAGGTTCAAGTGATTCTTCTGCCTCAGCCTCCCGAGTAGCTGGGATTACCGGCATGCGCCACCACACCTGGCTAATTTTTTTGTATTTTTAGTAGAGATGGGGTTTCTCCACGTTGGTCAGGCTGGTCTCAAACTCCCAACCTCAGGTGATCTGCCCACCTCGGCCTCCCGAAGTGCTGGGATTATAGGCATGAGCCACTGTGCCCGGCCCTGAGGGCCCTTTTATTAAGGTATTATAGATTAATTAATTCTTTATATATTGAGTCATTCTATGAAGAGAGAGGATATGATCCTTATACCTTTTCTAAATCCAGTAAGACTATAACAGAAATGGAAGAACATGAAAGTCAGACTGAAAATAAGGAAGAATTATTTCATCATAATTTAAAAAATCAAATTTAGTGATTTAAGGAACATTATGACATTTCTTACCCTAGATTTTTAAAGAAATTTTATATGCCTCTTAGATACATATAATACAATCATGCATCACTTAATGGGAATACATTCTCAGAAGTGTGTCATTAGGTGATTTTGTCATTGTGCAAGTATTATAGAGTGTACCTAGACATGCTTAGATGGTATAGCCCGTTACACATGTAGACTGCATGGTGTAGCCTATAGCTCCTAGGCTCTAAACCTGTACAGCAGGTGACTGTACTGAATACTGTAGGCAATTGTGGCACAATGGTAAGAATACTTACGTATCTACAGATATACAAATATCTAAATTAAAAAATCTATAGAAAAGATACAGTAAAAAATACAGAATAGAAGCCCCTTTATAGTCTTATGGGACCACTGTTGTATATGCGGTCCATCATTGACCAAAACATTGATATGCAGTGCATGACTATATTAGATTATATTGTTATACCAATTGAATCCCCAGTAAAATTTTAATGTCATTTAGATGTGTCTCAGTGTGACTCTTCATTTATTTATTTGTTTGAAACCCGATGATCTGAGTATTGCTTGAGTTCTGTTTAATTTACTTGTTTAAAGAATAGAATTTATGTGCCTAGAAATTTCATGCAGCTTGTATTTATTCTCAGATAACAAACTGTAACCGTGAAAAATCAAACAAGTGCAGCTCCTTCTATTGCTCTTTATGGCATACTCATACTTTGATTCATTCTGCAAGTATTAATTATGCACCCACTGCTAGGCACTTTGGATTCATTTGTGGGCAAATGCAGACATGGGGTTTATAGCTCTGTAGGGCAGCAAAGGTATTAATGAAATAATCACAAAGATGACATGTCGTAGTTTCCCTGAAATACATAAGTGCTATGGAGCATAAAAGCAGTTCTCTGAAAGCATATTTTTAAAGGGACGTGAGGGACAGCTACTTTAAGGAAGTGAGATTTGAGATGTCAGTGTGAAGGCCATTGAGTAGGAGCATTCCTGGCAAAGGGAATGGCCTGTGCAGGAAGAGTCATAGAGAATTCCACTAAATGATAGAGTTCTTGAAGACTAGTGCCTCAGAATCCGAGGGCCTCATGTGAGATGAGGCTGGAGCAGTAGGCCAATTAGATCAGACGCAGGACCTCAGAGGCGGTGATGAAGAGATAACTTAGCTCTTTTGGAGAGGACACTAGGGTGCACTCTATGCCTCTTGCTTGTTCCCCTGTATCGCCAAGGCTCCTTGTTTGTTTGCTTGGTTTAAATCGTGGAAGTTGTCAGTTTTGAATAAAATTTATGGAGAACTTTAGCCATCTTAAGAAGTAAATCATCATGATAAATGGAGAGCCACTCATATGTTTTCTTAATCCAGCCATATTTATATTCCAATTATAGAAAGACTCTGGATTTTAGTGTATGGCCAATGCCTATCCATAGTGACCTAGAGACAGACTTGGATTACTCACAGGAATTTGGCATGTGACCTTTGTTTGTTAAATATCAAAACAATTGGCAGGACTTGGCATAGGACACTAACTTTTGCCTCATCAATACCTGTCAGCCTCTTAAGTTTGTATTACAGATCATTAACAAAACAGCACATTTCATGTAAATTTAACCAACAGTGATAAAATTTGAGACCTGAGATGGTTGACATTATGGTTTTTTAATAAACATTACCCAACTACCAGGTTTTAATAATTGTGACCTGAAAGCATTGATTGTGTAGTGTTACATTTCAGTTTTATTGAAGTCAAAATACTTTCATAGAGCACAGAAACAAAGACTAATTTGTAAGTGATATTATGAAAATAGTGTACTTATCTTGAAGCAGTTTTTTTTTTTGTTTGATTTGAGACAGAGTCCCACTCTGTCACCCAGGCTGGAGTGCAGTGATGCGATCTCAGCTCACTACAACCTCCACCTCCTGGGCAAGCGATTCTCCTGCCTCAGCCTCCCGAATAGCTGGAAGGCACCGCCATCATGTCCAGCTAATTTTGTCTTTTTAGTTGAGATGGGGTTTCACCATTTTGGGCAGGCTGCTCTTGAACTCCTTACCTAAAGTGATCCACCTTCCTCGGCCTCCCAAAGTGCTGGGATTACTGGCGTGAGCCACTGCACCCAGCCTTTAAGCAGTTTTCATTCATTACTACTGTTTTTTCAGTTATTAAGTAAAAGTCTAGAAATGTTTGCCTTTTTGAATATTTTTTAAATCAAATTGAATGGTGGTCAAATAAATCTCTTATTATTATTCTCTTATAATAAATTTCTCAGAATTGCTTCAGCCTTTATATCTATTATCCCACAAAGAAATGCCTGTTTAAAAGATCTGATTCTCTTTTTTCAACATTATAGTTGTGTTACACATATTTATTTGATAGAGTTGTAGATTGTTCATTCATATTACTAAATAGTATTTAATTTTTACAGATCCCAAATATATTACTGTTAACGATGGAATTGTTCACCTTTTTATTTACTAGGTAGCTGCTGTAAGTACCATAGTAAATAGAGGGATAACACCCAAAGCTTTTGTGTTCAGAAACTATGGTCATTTTCCTGGAAACAACTCTCATTATTTGGGAGGCTGTCAGTATAAAATGTGGCAGGCCATTAGAGCCTCATCTGCTGCTCCAGGCTACTTTGCAGAATATGCATTGGGAAATGATCTTCATCAAGTAAGTTGACTTGTATGTTATATCTTTTAAAATTTTACATGATTAAAAGAATCAGCACGTATTAAATGTCATTGATCTTCAGAAGGATCAACCTAGGAGACTTTCTTCTTTGTGTCTTCATATGTCAGAAGAGGAACAATTTAGGATATTTTTATTTGTTGTTTTTCTTAACAAGCCTCTGACATGCAAACACATTTTGGGAAAATTTTTGTGTGTTATATAGTGTGATTTGTAGCCCATTGTGATAATTTTGATGAAAAAGTTAGAGTATGTATGATTAGCTTTCCAAACATGATGAAAATTAAAACCGATATACACTCCCTGAAAATGCAGAACCCAGTCTGTTTGACAGTTTGGGTGGGCATATTTTGAAGAAAGGGATACAGTAAAATAATAATAAATGCTCATTAAGTTAGCTGTGTGCCAGACACTTATTTAGTGCTGTGCATGCATTATCTCATTTAATCCTTGCTACTTATGAGGTAGAATTATTTCCATTTTACAAACAAGGAATTCGCACCTTAGGAAAAGTTAAGTAACTGGACTAGCATCACAGCTGTTAAGTTACAGGGTTAGGATATTGTCTGTAATTATACTCTTTATTTGTAAAGTTGAATATTATTTCTGGAAATTCTTTTTATGTTATGTAAACTCATTTAAACTTTTCGTCTGTCAGGTTTTTCCAACTCTTTATGGAAATCTTAATTCATAACTTACACTAAATGCTAATAAAGCTTTAGAGCTGATACTTTGAAAGCTTGTATTTTTATATATGCTTAATTTTTTATATTATGTCTCATTTAAAGGAGTAGAATGAGAGGAATCTTGATGTTTTTCTGTAGTCCCTAAAGTATGTCTACTCTCTTTATTTGGTCAGATATCTGTTGAGAAAAAAATCTTATACTGTTGACAGGGATATTCAGGTAGCATTCAAAAACTCATACGTAGATCTATATAAACAACATGTCAACAATATAAACTTCAAAACTTTCAAATGGATCATTTAAATGTAAATGTCAATATTATAACTAAAACATTTTTAACAATTTTATCTCATTTTGATACAATAGCTTATATATATTTTTAAATGTTATGGTCAGCTACTCCCATTTTCTTTTTAATCTTTAAGTAATATAATATTTGTAGCTAAGAGATTAAAATAGGATTGTTTTGTCTTTGGAGTCAGTTCAAACCATTTCTTACTTTGCAGAATCAGTCATTGTTGAATTATGTAAGGCACTTCCCCTTCTTGCCTTTCTTCTCTTTCTTCCACCCCCTCAGGCAGAAAGTACTGGCTGCTGAGATTCTGATAGTGATTTCAGGACTTAATGGTCAAAATAAAATTTTTATTTTAATATGTGGCTTACTATTTTTAACAGCGATTTCCCCCTATCCGTATGTACTGTGTCATAAATTGAGAAATAATTTAGACAGTGTATGTAAAATACAATAGGATTTCTAAGTTATAACCTTAATATAGTGCTACAAACTTTCAGTTATGCCAATTAGTGAAAGTCTCAAATACTAAATAATTACATTTGGGGATCATGTGTTTTCCACATTTCAAAAGAAGTTATCTCATTTGCTCTTTATTCTTTACCTAAGAGAAAGTAGTTCTAAAGTTTAACTCAGTACTGTTGAATATATATACCAAAGTAATTCAGCGGTTCCTTTTCCATTTCAGATAGGTTAGTGATATTTCTGTTCATGCTTAGACATTTTTATATTGATGACCGTAATCCTTCAACTTATTTTGAGCCACAGATTAAAATAACTTCTTAAGGTTATTTGAATAAATAAATGTTATTTATAATTTATATAAATTTTTATGTAAAGCATATAGCCACATGGGCAAAAAATGTACTTTCATATAAATAAATAAGCTTCAGAAACATTGGCACATTTAATTACTGAAAGTATTCAAATGGAATCTGGAGCCCAAGAAACCTACTTAAGGAAATATTTTTCTTACTGTATATTCTCTTCCAAGACTTGAAGAAGAAATGGGGTACTTTTCCCTTCAAATGACAACTCAGAAGATTGATGGGAATATTTTAAGGTGTGAATGATCTTGGTTGCTTAAACAAAGAAAATATTCAAGCGAAGTCCTAATTCTTTCTAACCATTCAGAAGTTTTGCTAAGTTTAAAGTATGGTACTTACTACAACCTTCTCATCCTAAATTCTTTTAATAATTATATTCAATTATTACCAGTCTTATTTTGAAAATCCCTTTTAGCTGTCACATCTGACATATGTTTTAATATAGTTACTTTGTATCCATTGTAGTAGAAGTTAATTAATATTCTATTTGAGCAATTATTGAAAGTAGTGATATAATTAAGAGTTATGAGTAGGTGAATGGGGAGATTTCATTTGCCTTTGACTATAAGAAGATTATTACAAAATTTATAAGGTTCATTAGAAGTCCTAGAAAATTATAAAGTGAGAAGAATTCTTTGTGAGTAGCTCCCAATCTCTCCCCATCTGCCCAAGTAGTAGCATAATATGTACCTGGAAGTACTACTTTTTACACAAAATTATTCCATCTCTCTTTCCATCTCCACCTTCAAAATTAAATTGTTCATTCCTGTCTTTGGAGAAAGAATCTAATAAATTAGTTTACACTAGAGGTTTTGATGACCAATTCTGATATACATATTATTCCTACCAGGCTTTATTTACATCATAAAAGTTTTTGTTCAGAGCTTAGGATACATAAACATAAATAAATTATGAAATTTTTGTTTAAACATTGCAGGTAACGAGTGTTTTTAGCAGAAAGAACCTCGCTGACACCTGCTAAATTATGCGTATACCAAACCACAATTAATAATTTTCATTATAAATGGACAGAAATGTAGTGAGTGCTTACTCAGTGTCAGGCACTGTGCTAGCTGGGAAGGATATAAAGATTTTTAACCATAGTTGGCATGTTGTTTGTGCTTCCTGGATCCTGCCCTCAAATAGTTCAGACAAAAGAATGTAAACCCAGTTATAGAATAAGGTGAAAATTTAACCATCAACATATGTACAGGATTAAGAAGTACTATAGAGGTGATTTATTCTGTCAGGGTCAGCTTAACAAAGAAGTTGTCATCTGACTTGATGTATAAAAATTGGGTCATTGATTAGGGATAGAAAATGGGATAAGGAAGGGAAAATGGGGAGTGATTCCTCAATGGTTACAGAGTATGGGTGATTAAAATGTTTTGGAAATAGATTGTAGTGTCAAGATACAGTGGCTTACACCTGTAATCCCAGCACTTTGGGAGGTCGAGGCTGGAGGATCGCCTGAGCTCACGAGTTTAAGACCAGCCTGCTGCAACATAGTGAGACCCTGTCTCTACCAAAAAAAGAAAAAAATATTAACAGGATGTGGTAGTCCACACCTGTAGTCCCAGCTACTCTGGAGGCTGAGGTGTGAGGATCACCTTAAGCCCAGGAGTTAAAGGTTACAGTGAATGCCACTGCTATCCAGCCAGGACAACAGAGCAAGACCCTGCCTCAAAAAGTAGATAGTGGTGATGTTCACAAAACATTATATAATTAATGCCACTTAATTGTACCCTTAAAAATCATTTAAATGACCAATTTTGTGTTATATTTAATTTACAATAAAAAGCAAATGTTAAAAGAAACTAAGAAAAAAAGTCAGAATAAGATAATAAAAAGGCATATCGACATTGTCCAACGCTTACTTTCTGGTACGTGTTCTGACTTTGGATTTGAAGTGATTAAATATACATTAAAAGCAATAAAAAGCATTTGTAAATTTTAGGCTATTACGCACATGTATAGTATACTGCAGTTCAAACACAATCTGTGTGTTCCTCTAAGAGATAAGTAAATTATTCAATCAAGTCATTTATCAAGTCGATTTTACTTTGGCAGTTAGCAGTATGCCTGGCACATGCCATCTATAAAAAAATAACTGTAAATATGAATACTTGAATGAATGGAAAGGCTACAGGAACTACCACGGACCCAACATTAGCCCAATGACGTATTGATAGAATAGGCATCTGAAAAGAGGAAGCTAACTATAAAACAGAGCTTAAGAGTTAGTGTGCCTCACCACTAGATTAGAGTGAGCCCAGAAACCTTAACTGCTGCACTGTTTTGATAAAAAGTGAGTAAAGTTTAAGGAACAGAAATTTACTTTGAAAAATGGTTAGCGAAACTACAGGAAACCTGCCAGTTTTTTGATTTGGGATTGATTATGCAGTTATCGTTTCTTGCTAAAATTTGTTTGCCTCTTCATCTTTTCCCTTTTTTGTCTTTTCTGATCATCCTTATATAGGCTTTTATATAATGAAAATGTGTTTCATCTAAAATACCTACTTGATTAGAAGTTACACAGGGTATAACAAGTATAGAATTTAAGATTTAAATGGTTTAGTAAAAAAATAACGTTTTCTGCCAAATTAGAATTTAAATGTTACCTCTATCACTGGATAGGTATCATTCTAATAATCTGTTAATTGAAAAGAAAGGAAAAAGTTGAAAGGATTAAATTCAAATTTGTACATGAGAAAGCCTTTAGGAAATAGCTTAATTATTACCACCTGCATTGAAGGAATCTAGATTTTTACAAAGTTCAGCAATACAAATATAAATACCTATCCAATTTATTACTTTCAACAAATGTATAAAGACAGCTAAATTTAAAACTAGTTCTTTTCAACTGGTGAATGGATAAACTATGGTATATTCAAATAATGAAATATTACTCAGCAATAAAAAGGAATGAATTACTGACATTCACAGAGACATAGATGAATCTCACAAGCATTCTGCTAAGTGAAAGAAACCAGACCCAAAAAACTTATGCTATATGATTCCATTCGTTTTGATAACAAAGTTCAATGTGTGACCTTGAAGAGTAGTTGGATGAATAGGTTTTTGAAGTAAATGTGGCAACAAACCACCCATGCTAAAATGGAGAATAGAGCAAGCAATAAAAAGATGTGGCAAACTGCTTTTCTGAACGTCAGCACAGCCCTGTGTATCCCAGTTATCTCAAGGGTATCACAAAGCTACACATCGGTGATAAATGGTGATAAATGACATTTGCCATAATAAAGGTCCATTAGCCTCAGGCTGGTTATTCTATAACTAAAGAGCCAGTTAACTTTCTCTGGAAAGTGTTGTTAGTATTTAGGAACATTTCTATATATTGATAGCTGCCTCCTAATGTGATCTTATTGATCCAACCAGAGTATTATTTGAGATACAGGTTTTTGAGAAAGTTGTTTTGTAATGCCATAAATGAAGACGTACCGTAATCTATGGTTTGCAAAATACTGCCACTCCCCCTAAAATAACTGAGCATAAATTTGTGAAAAGATGAGGAGTGTTCTTCACATTCCATGAGAAATTTTAGTAACAATAGTATACTTCATTAGTAGGGCAAAATCCTACATGATGTTTTTAATGGGACCTTCAAGCCGGAGCACTAATGGTGGGGTAGGTGATTTTCCACAAAGAAAACTACTTGGGAGAATTGATTATATTCCTATATACAAGCAGAGAATAATTGGAAATCAAAATTGTAACAAAAGCAGTATAGTTTACAGTAGATCCAAAAAATTAAGTACTTAGGTATAAATCTAACAAAACATAGAGAATCTGTATGTTGAAAACAGAAGATGAAAGAAATAAAAGAAGACCTAAAGAAATGGAAAGGCATACCATGATTGAAAGATGCTACATGGTAAAGATGTGAGTTATTCCTGAAGTGATCTATAAATATAATGCAATGCCAATCAAAACTCTAGTAGGACTTTTCAAAAATTATACAGTCAGATTCTAAAATTTATATGGAAGGGCAGAGGAATGAGAATAGTTTAAACAATTTTATTATTTATTTATTTATTTATTTAGAGACAGAGTCTCGCTGTGGCGCCCAGGCACAATCTCAGCTCACTGCAACCTCCACCTCCCAGGTTCAATTGATTCTCTTGCCTCAGCCTCCGGAGTAGCTGGGACTACAGATGCGCACCACCACCCCCAGCTGATTGTTTGTAGTTTTAGTAGAGACAAGGTTTCACTATGTTGTCCAGGCTGGTCTTGAACTCCTGGGCTCGGGCAATCCGCCTGCCTCGGCTCCCCAAAGTACTAGGATTACAGGCATGAGCCACTGCACCTGGCCTAAACAATTTTAAAAGAATAAAAAGTTTCAAGGAATCACACTACTCAATTTAAAAACTTACTCTAGAGGTACAGTAGTCATGGCTACTGTACCAGTGTGTTATTTGGATGAAGATAGATATATAGATAAATGGAATTAAAGAGAGAGTTCGGAAATAGATCATACATATATGGCCATTTGATCTTTGACAAAGATACAAAAGCAATTCAATGGAGAAAAGATAGTCTTTTCAGCAAAAATTGTGTTGAAACAATTGGTCATCTTTCTCTCTCCCTGTCTTTTCCCCTAAACTCCCACCACACACACAAACACACCCCAGAAACCGTGACCTAAACCTCACACATTATACAAAGATAATTCATAATGGATCGCAGTTCTAAATGTAAAACAAAACTATGAAACTTTTAGAAGAAAAACTTGGTGACCTGGGTTAGGTGAAGACTTCTTACAATTATCCTGAAATCATCATACATGAAATTAAAAAATTGATAAATTGGACTTCATCAAAATTAAAAATTTAGTTCTGCAAATATACTGCCAAGAAGATAAGGAGACAAGCGACATACAGGAAGAAAATATTTTCAAATCCACATGTCCAACAAAGGAGTTATATCTAGAATATATAAGAAACTCTCAGAATTTAACAATATGAGCTAAAGACTTGAACAGACCCTTCAACGCAGGACAAAGGGATGGCAGATGAGGGTGTGAAAAGACATCCAGCATCATTAGGCATTGAGGAATTGCAAATTAAAACAATGTTGAAATGCCACCACATATCTGTTAAAGTGGTTAAAATAATATGGACAATACCAAGTATTACTGTAATAAGATAGCAGAGCAACTGGAACTTTTAGACATTGATGGTAGGAACGCAAAATGGACAACCACTTTGAAAATGTTTTGGCAGTTTCTTATAAAGTTAAACGTATGCTTACTATATGATCCAACAGTCTCACTCGTGAGTATTCACTCTAGAGAAATGAAAATTTACATCCATGCAAAATCCTGTACTCACGTGTTTATAGCAGCTTCTTTATTCGTGACAGTCAAATGCTGGAAACAACCCAGAGGTCCTACAATGGATGAATGAATGAACTGTGTGGTACCTCCATACAATCAGCAGTAAAAAGGAGTAAACTATTGATACATGCAACTACTTGGATTAGTCTCAATGACATGCTCAGAAAGAGAAGGCAGCTTAAGGCAGTCCCATATTGTATTATTCCATTTCTATGACATCCTTAAAAAATCAAAGCTGTAGTGGTAGAAAACAAATCAGTGGTTGTCAAGGGTTATGGGTGGGAGGAGGGGTGCCTACAAAGAGATAACATGAGAGAGTTTTTGGGGATGATGGAACTATTCTGTATCTTGGTTGTGGTAATATTTACACAAATCTATATGCATTAAAGTTCATAGAGCTGCATACCAAAAAAGTTAATTTTACTGTATAATCTGAAAAATTAAAATATTTTACAGTGAAATTAGCTGCTTTATAAGGTTGTAAGCACCATATTACTGAAAATGTTTAAGAATTCTGTCAAAAACTGTTTAAGGCTATATATGGGAGACTGAACTAGGGTAATTCCAAGGTCTGTTAGAATTCTCAGCAGTGATAGTGCTGATTCCAAGGAGATGCCAAGCACCAGTGACCTCAAAAATCATTCGAGTTTATTCAGGTTGTTTACCACTGAAAAAATACCTTTCCCTGTACTCGGCAGACAGTTAACTGGCATGGATGGGAGCTGAACAGGAGAAGGAGGCTGAGCAGTCACTTAAACCATTTTAAATCAGATATGTTTTTCTTGATTTAATTTGGTTTAGTTTGGTTTGTTTTTGAGACAAGGTCTTGATTTGTCACCCAGGCTAGAGTGCAGTGGTATGATCTCAGCTCACTGCAGCCTCGACCTCCTGGGCTCTTCTCCTACCTCAGCCTCCTGAATAGCTGGGACTACAGGCTTGTACACCATGACTGGCTAATTTTATTTTTTTGTAGAGACCAGGTCTCCCTATGTTGCTGAGGCTGGTCTTCAACTCCTGGACTCAAGTCATTCTCCTGCCTTGGCCTCCCAAAGTGCTGAGATTACAGGCATGAACCACCATGCTCAGCGTATTTTTCTAGATTTTAAATACAATATAATGTTGATGATGTAATATATTTTCATATGGTTCTACAGTACATTTTATTATAGTTTGACCATAATTTTATCTACTTTTATGCTAGTACATTTTATAGGGCTCTATCAGCATATTTTATTAATACCTTTGTTTCCTTTTGAATTCTTCAAAATAATATTATTGATAAATACTTAGAAATATTAAGTTTTGTCTATGTTGTTTACATTATATCTGCATTATAATGAATGTGATCCATTGAAATTGTATTGTTAATAGAATTTCAACTAACTTAGAATTATTTGGTTATATTTGACTTGTGAGAGAAGAACTAATTTTAATTGTTTGGTAGAACCACAGTTCTTTCTGTTAGGCTTTAAGTAGAACCTGTATTAACCACTAAATAAGACAATGTGTCTTTGAAAAGTAATTCAGTTCATTTCAATATTTTTTAGCAAAATATGCAAAGCAACTAAGAAGTTCAAAGAACTTTCATAAAAGGAAAGGAAAACTTAATAAGAAGTTTCTTTATGAGGCCAATGAGTCTTCACATGAATTTTCTTGCAGCTGTAGTCTATAAAAGAAATGTACTTTTAAGGAACCTCTTAGTTTTAAATAATTTATTTAGCTTATTACATAGTTCAGCCTTCCCTGTGAGTCAGTTTTAAGAGTTTCTTTTTTTTAACTTGTATTTTGCAGGATGGAGGTTTGCTTCTGAATAACCCTTCGGCTTTAGCTATGCATGAGTGTAAATGTCTTTGGCCAGATGTCCCGTTAGAGTGCATAGTATCCCTGGGCACCGGACGTTATGAGAGTGATGTGAGAAACACGGTAACACACACAAGCCTGAAAACCAAACTTTCTAATGTTATCAACAGTGCTACAGATACAGAAGGTTAGTCTTGTTTGCTGTTTAAAATACTTCAACTTCTAGCATTCTAGCAGTTTTTTGGTGGCATATGTTGGTCCTAACTGCAAAGGCATATGATATGTCTGTATTGTGGGTTTAGGAAGGATATGGGAACAAACATTTTGTTGTTTTCCTTTCTCGCTTGTTTCTTGTTAGGTGACTAGAACAGAGACTGTTTTCCATTTGAAAGCTAGTGCTCCCTTTGCCCACTTACTGTTGGAGAAGTGCCTGAAGCTGGATAGCACAACATTTTGTTGGAGACTCTGAAGCCAGTTAAGAAAGGGAAAAGCAACAAAAGGAGTCAGATTGGTTCAAACATATACATGATAGCAAAGATTTAGAGTAAAGGGCATTCGCTTATTTAATACTGTGAAGACAAACTGGAATGAGAATGTGCTCTTCTTTTACTCTTGCTGCCCCTATAGTTTAGTCTTCATACAGAGGCCAAAGTCATCCTTTTAAAATGCAAATTAGGCTGGGCACAATGGCTCACACCAGTAATCCCAGCACTTTGGGAGGCCGAGGCGGTTGGATCACTTGAGGTCAGGAGTTCGAGACCAGCCTGATCAATGTGGTAAAACCCCATCTCTACTAAAAATACAAAAAATTAGCCAGGCATGGTGGTGTGCACCTGTAATCTCAGCTTCTTGGGAGGCTGAGGCAGGAGAATCACTTGAGCCTTGGAGGCAGAGGTTGCAGTGAGCCAAGATCGCGCCACTGTACTCCAGCCTGGGCTACAAAGCAAGACTCCATCTCAAAAAAAAAAAAAAAAAAAAAAATGTCTGTCTCCTTCTTAAAACCCTCTTTCAAGTACCTTCTCTAAAGTGTGTCCAACTACCCTTTAATTCTTGCTGGTCACCAAACTTGCTAAGCACTCTCCTACCTCAGGACCTCTGTAGTTGCTGTACTCTCTGTCTATAAGGCTGTTTCCCCAGATAGGCACTTGACCCTTATTTCATTCAGGTCTCTATTGAAATGTCAGAGGGACCTCAGAGAAACCTTTCCTGACTGCTTTTCATCTTATCATCTCGCTTTAATTTCTTAGCCTGCTTCTTTTTCTCTTACAGCATTTATCTTATTATAATTATATATGATATATTTGATTGTTTACTTATCATCCTTCTGTCCCACAAGAATGCAAGGCAAGAATGTATCCAGTTTACTTTGACTTATCCAGTTTGCTATTGACTCCAGTGCCTGGCATATAGTAGGCATTCAGTGAGCGTATGTTGAATTTCTGGTTTTGGCTTTGAGGTGTTTGTGTGTGTGTGTGTTTTTCTTAGAAACAGGATCTCACTTTGTTGCCCAGGCTGGAATGCAGTGACAATCATAGCTCACTGCAGCCTCAAACCCCTGGGCTCAAACAGTCCTCCCGCCTTAGCCTCCTGAGTAGCTGGGACTACAGGTGCATACCACTGCACCCAGCTAATTTTTTAGACCTTTTTTTGTAGAGATGGGGTCTCCCTCTGTTGCCCAGGCTGGTCTTGAGCTCCTGGCTTTAAGTCATCCTCCTGCCTTGGCCTTCCAAAGTGCTAGGATTACTAGCATGGGCCACCGGGTCTTGCCTTGAGGTTTAGCTTTCCTCATTTTACTATTTTGTTTTTAGTTATTGGGTGAAACGTTTTATTAAATTAAAAAAAAATATTGACACTTAACAGCTCCTTGTATTTGAACCTCATTCTTTTCATATCAGCATATTATTGGCCAAGTCATTAACATAAGTGAAAATCTTAAACTCCCCACTGAGGACTTTTATTCATTGAATGAAAACCCAAAAAAAGCTCATATGCTAGATTTTTCACTATCTGAAATTTTGTTGCCAGATCAGTGAAATACTCTTTTTTTCCCAGCTTTATTGAGGTCAGACTGACATAAAAATTGTATATATTTAAGTTGTACAACACATTGTTTTATTATAAGTATACCTTGTATAATGATTCCCATAATCCAGCTAATAACCTTATCTGTCACCTGACATAGTTACTATTTTGTGTGTGCCTGGTAAGAACACTTAAGATTTACTCCCCTAGCAAATTTCAAGTAAACAATACGTAATACATTGTTATTAGCTATAGTTACCATGTTGTACGTCAGATCTCTAATAGGTAGTCATAGCTGAAAATTTGTACCCTTTGACCAACATCTCCCCATTTCTCTCACTCTCCAGTGTCTGGCAACCACCATTCTCCTCTCTTTTTTTTATTTCAACTATTTTAGATTCCACATAAAAGTGTTACCATGCACTACTCATTTTCCTGTGTCTGGCTTAGTCCCCTTAGCAGAATATCTTCCAGGTTCATCCATGGTGTCACAAGTGGCAGGATTTCCTTTTTTATGGCAGAACAGGATTCTTGTGTGTGTATATACTGTCGTTTCTTTATCCATTCATCCGTGGACACAGATTGTTTTCATATCTTGGCTATTATGAATAATGCAGTGAACATGGGTGTGCAGCTATCCCTTCAAGATAACGATTTCATTTCTTTCAGCTATATACCTGGAGTGGGATTGCTGGATCATATGGTAGTTCTCTTTTTAATTTTTTGAGGAACCTCCATACTGTTTTCCATAGTGGTTGTAGCAATTTACATTCCCATAAACAGTTTACAAGGGTTTCCTTTTCCCCACATCCTTGCCAACACCTATTATCTCTTGTCTTTTTGATAACAGCCAACCTAACAGGTGTAAGGTGCGATCTCATTGTGGTTTTTGATTCATATTTCCCTGATGGCTCAATAAAATATCCTTACCATAAGCCATTTGCTGAGACAAGTGACTTTAGTCGGGCAGTCTCATAAGAATTAAGTCTGTACTTTTTGCAAACCATGTAATGGACTTATTTAGAATTTTCAAGAAACATGAAATGTTGCCTCAGTGTACCTGCACTCTAGTTAGAGACAAATGAGTAAAAATTTAATAAACTCAGTTAACTTTGAAAAAGATATAACAAGAATTATATTGAAACATGTACTTACTAAATTGCTCTTGGCCTACAAAAACAACAATTTCATAGGGTTTAATATGTGATGAATTGCTAAATAAATGGTAAATGATTGTAAGTGATTAAGACTATGAATTAAGAAGAGGAATGAGAAAACTTGACTGGTGTAGACAGCTTATAAGATGTAAAGTAGACTTGATGTGGGTCTTAAAGGATATATAGGATTTGGACATTTTAAAAGAGAGTGAAGACTTCCTCTTCTGGACATCATAAAATATTAGGGACCAGATATTTCCTCTTACCTTAAACAACTAGAAAAGTAGACAGAACAATGGTTTTCAGACATTAGATAACAGGTAACATAAGACAATGATCTCTGAAAGGAGAATGAATGAGGTCATCACTGTTACTGTCCAGTTTGCTGCCTGAAAAGAGTTTCTATACTATAGCATAGGGAGGGGGCACCAGAAAAGTAGGGCAGTCTCTTAGAGTTGGAGAAACAAAGTTTGTAGTTCAAGGAGGTCAAGGAAACTAAAATTTGTGGGCTATGTGCAAGATCTGAACAGTGAAAACTACCAAACATTACTGAGATAAATTAAAGACCTAAATAAATAAATAGATATACTGTGTTAATGAATTGGAAATCTCAGTATTGTTAAGGTATCACCTCACAAATTGATCTATAGATTCAATACAATTCCTGTCAAAATCCAAGCAGGCTTTTGAGGGATGGAGATTAACAAGCTGATTGTAAAATGTATATGGATATGCAAAGGACCCAGGATAGTGGTCTCCAACCTCTTTGGTCCCAAGGACTGGTTTCGTGGAAGATAGTTTTTCCATGGATCGGGGTGGGGAGGGGAGGAATGGTTTTGGGATAATTCAAGCACATTACATTTATTGTATGCTTTATTTCTAGTATTGCATTGTAATATATAATGAAATAAGTATACAGCTCACCATAATGTAGAATTGGGAGCCCCAAGCTTGTTTTCCTGCAACCAGATGGTCTCATCTAGGGGTGATGGGAGACAGTGGCAGATCATCAGGCATTAGATTCACATAAGGAGCACACAACCTAGATCCCTTGCATGCTCAGTTCACAGTAGGGTTTGCACTCCTATGAGAATCTCATGCCACCACTGATCTGACAGGAGGTGGAGCTGAGGCTGTAATGCAAGTGATGGGGAGTGACTGTAAATACAGATGAAGCTTTGCTTACTGGCCCTGCCACTCACCCCCTGCTGTGCAGCCCAGGGGTTGGGGACCCCGACCTAGAATATCTGACACAATTTTGGAAAAAAGAAAAAGTTGGAGGACTTGCATCTGCTGATTTAAAGACTGTAAAACTACATTAAGCAAGGAACTGTGGTGTTTGAATAAAGATAGACATATAAATCAATGGTATGTAATAGTCCAGAAATTGATTTATACATGTAAACTCAAAAGACTTTTTACAGAGGTGTTAAGGTAACTCAGTGGGAAAGGACAGACTTTTCAACAAATGGTCCAGGACAATTAGATACTTATATCCACAGCGTTGACTTTTACCCTTTGCACCATACACAGAAGTAACTTAGAATGCATCATAGTCATTCATGGCTACTATGCAGAAATACAATTGATTTTTTTCTATTGACCTTATATAACTTCAAACTTGCTGAACTCAGCTATTCTAGTAGCTTTTTATAGCTTTCTTAAAATTGTCAACATAGGCAACCAGGTTGTCTGTAGAGTTTTACTTCTTCCTTTTTAATCTACATGCCCTTCATTTCCTTTTAATGCCTTACGGCACTGAAAAGGACCCTCCAGTACAATGCTGACTGGAAGTTGTGAGCCTAGACATCTTACCCTGTTCCTGATCTTAGATGGAAACCTGAATCTAAGAGCTGAAACTATAAAACTTATAGAAGAATATGCTGGAGAAAATCTTAATGACCTTGGGTAGGTAAGATTTTTTAGATAGGACATAGAAAATATGAACCAGAGAGGAAAGAAAGAGATAAATTAGACTTTGAATTGTAAATTCTGCTCTTTAAAAGATACTTTTTATGAAATGAAAAGGCAAGTCATACACTAAGAGAAAATATTGGTAAAACATGTATCTGACCCATCATGAGGTATAAATTTATAATCAGATTCAAAATATATAGAGAATTCTCATATATGTGTATGTATGTATATATACGTGTGTATATATAAAAAATATAGGCCGGGTATGGTGGTTCACACCTGTAATCCCAGCACTTTGGGTGGATCAGTTGAGCCCAGAAGTTTGAGAGCAGCCTGGTCAATATAGTGAGATCCCATCTCTACAGAAAAATTAAAAACTATCTGGGCATGGTGGCACACACCTGTAGTCCCAGCTACTTGGGAGGCCGAGGCAGGAGGATCACTTGAGCCCAGAAGTTGGAGGTTGTGGTGAGCCATGATTGCACCACTGTCATATATGTAGGACACAGTGATCTCAGTGAAAAAATGGGCAAAAGATTTGAACAGACACTTCATTGAAGAAGATATACAAATGACTAATAAGTACATGAAAACCTTCTCAACATAATTAGTCATTAGGGAAATGAAAATTAAACCACAAGATAACACTACCTCTGCAATGCAAAACTTAAGACTTGACATACTAACTTTGGGCAAAGATGTAGAGCAGTGAGAACTCTAATATATTAGCAGTTGGAATACAAAAATGGAAGACAGTGTGGCAGGTTTGTTTTTTTTTTAATAAGCATACCCTTTACCATATGAACCAGCAATTTTATTCCTGGGTTTTTGCCCAAGGGAAATGCAATCATGTGCACATGAAGACTTATGTGTAAATGTTTATAATAGGGTTATTTCTAGTAGCTAAAAACTGAAGAGAGCCAGACCAGAACTGCAGAGAACAAATTGTGTTGTATCTATACAATGGAACACCATTTAGCAATGAAAAGAAAGGAACTACTGATTTATGCTACAACATGGATGAATCTCAGAAGTATTTTGCCATGTAAAAGAAGGTAGATACTTGTGATTCTGTTTGTATGAAATTCTAGAAAAGGGAAAGCTGGCACCAATTATAAAGAGGCTTAAAGGAAATTTTACAGTGATGGAAATGGCTATGTCATGATTATTGTGCTTACACAAGTGTATACATTTGTCAAAACTTGTCAAACTGTACAGTTAAAATTGGTGAATTGCACTGGATGTAAATGACATGTCAATGAAGATGATCCCAAAAAATTAAAAAGAACAAAAAAAGGAAGATTGGAAAGGGCATTTCAGCAGGGGTGAACGGTATGACCAAAAGCATAGAGAGAATAGAACAAGTAAACTAATTTCACAGAATAATGTGTTTTGGAAGATGGATTTTATCTTGTAGTTTTACCCATTACTATGGATTACTTCTACTGTTAGTTTGAATAATGAAATTAGTGAATCTTTGTAATGTGCCTAAAAAGAAGATAATTTTAAATAAAGATAACAGTTCATTGCTCACTTTATCCCCTCTTTTCTTCTCCCCCATCCTTTTCTTTTTTGCTTTAACAGAAGTCCATATAATGCTTGATGGCCTGTTACCTCCTGACACCTATTTTAGATTCAATCCTGTAATGTGTGAAAACATACCTCTAGATGAAAGTCGAAATGAAAAGCTGGATCAGCTGCAGTTGGAAGGGTTGAAATACATAGAGAGAAATGAACAAAAAATGAAAAAAGTTGCAAAAATATTAAGTCAAGAAAAAACAACTCTGCAGAAAATTAATGATTGGATAAAATTAAAAACTGATATGTATGAAGGCCTTCCATTCTTTTCAAAATTGTGATGAGTGTATGCATATGGTCTCATAAATGAAGCCCTGTTCAGAAGATCCACCACATTCAATAAGGAATTGTGGGATTCGACATGAGTTAACTTTGAAATACTTATGAATTCTGGAGAATCCTGAAAAAGATGGTGCTTCGACCAGCTTGCACAGCACAGAGAATATTCTTGGTTACAGAATTCATATGGGAACTAGGCTTTTAAGATGTTAATAATTAACTAAGCTTTAGTAACCTTACTGTGCTAGTTGGTTTTAGTAGATATTGGTGTTATATTGTTTGATGTTTGAAAATTTATTAATATATGTGCCGAACAAGAAACCGAAAGCTATATTGTACTTTGTGTTTTTACTTTAGTCCTCATAATCATGTTAAATTTATGTGATCATTGATTTTATTTCATATGGAAAAGCTAATTTCTTCTTAAATTTACGTTACCTAATCTCACTAGCTATGTTCTCCAATCCACACTGCCTTTATTGTAATATCATCTAAATAGATGCAGAAAATGGAATTTTCTCTATTAAAGTATTTTACATTTGAAATATGAAAGAACCAGATACAGTTTTCTATTCAAATATGTTTATTTTAACATTGGTTAAAAAAGATGAGGTTCCAGTCAACCACTTTTTAACCCCTAAAATTTCAAGATAATGCTGTATTAACTTTTCCAGATCTAACACTAGCTTATTCTTCCCTGTTATAAAATGGTTTGAACTTACTGAGAAAATATTCCTATCATTAACAAAAATAAACTATTTAAATAATCTGTTAAAAGGCTAATGTCATTTTAAAATTAATTTTTGTTCATAATGTAGCTCCCCTTTAGCCTTTGAATACACCTAGCAGCAGTATGCTTAAAAATTACAAGTTAGGGCGTGGCGTGGTAGCTCACACCTGTAATCCCAGCACTTTGGGAGGCCGAGGCAGGCAGATCACCTGACGTCAGGAGTCCAAGACCAGCCTGGCCAACACGGTGAAACCCCGTCTCTAATAAAAATACAACTATTAGCCAGACGTGGTGCACGACTATAGTCCCAGCTACTCGGGAGGCTAAGGCAGGAGAATGGCTTGAACCTGAGAGACGGAGGTTGCAGTGAGCCGAGATAGCGCCAGTGCACTCCAGCCTGGGCAACAGAGCAAGACTCTGTCTCAAAAACAAAAAAGAAGTTACCTTTCTTTTAACTCCTTTGAACTGTCTGGATTTCACAGAAGTTGATAAGATGCACTTACATGGAACATTGTTTATGCCAAACAAATTCATCTTTGTTGTATCTATTTGTCACATAAATCCTTACATGGAATATTTAGATTTCTCAAGAAAAATGAAACAAAGGTAAGTGCCACTTGTTTTAGACATATAAACTAAAGCTAGACCCGGTTGCCCAGATAGTCATATTGCTTCTTTGCAATGTCAGTTCACAGAGGCTGTGAGATGTGTTTCAAGGAGTGGAGTTGAGAGTCTGGATGCTAATCCTGTCTTTGCTGCAAGAACCCTTCTGTTTGTGACCTTGAGGAGGACAAATGTCTGTAGACTTTGCGTATCCCATTTGTAAAATGAGGAAAGCTAGCTGTAAAATTTTCTAACATCTGAGTTATATCAACTTTAGATATAGTATAAAATAGGAAACTACCAATGATTTCGAAAGATAATATAAAATAGTCCTTTCAGACCACAAATATTACATAATAACATGCAGCTAAGAACTTGTAAATGCAAGAAAAATACAAATAATTGGAAATCAGAATATTTCTGGGAATTCTTTGTAATAAAGCAAATTTCAAGCACAATAAAGTAATATTTATGCATATTTACATGTTTGCACCTTATCATGAGGTCAGTCTAAAACTGATGTAGTTCATCTGTTTTAAAGCTGAAGTTAACTATTTCCCTTATTTGTGCTTGACTTATTTCTTTCTTAAATAATGCATTACATAAGTGAACTCTGGCCATGGCTGCTGCCTTTTTTTTTTTTTCTTTTTTTGAAGTTTCCCATGTATACAACTCAGTCCTTTTTGTACTGACACCTAATATAAGCCATGTAGCGTGGTGCCTACATATGCACTGTGCCATCCCTATTTCTTTAGCTCTTTTCACTCTCGAACAAAAAGCAAACCCAGTTGTGTGGTGCACCAGTTTTCAGCCGTTCTTGTCCTCATTTGTACTTGAAACTGGTTATCTGAAGAACTGTAATTCACCTGAGATAACCCTCATTTTATAACAAGGCCAGTGCTTGCTTTATCCAAAGGAACCCCAAAAGTAAATTCTGCAAATAATACAGAACAGCAGTAGGAAGAGATGTGAGAAAGAATTTTCAGTCTTATACAGGTAAAATATTTGCCATTTTCAAAAAGGCAAAGAGGAAGAATGGTCTATTTTATCAATATAAAAAATTCCTCAACTCATATCTTCAAAATATAGAATAAAAATTGCTTTAATGCTCAGGTTTTCCTGAGTGTCTCAGAAGTCTTATTTCTATAGTAAATGGTGTACTGGTAATATTTCAGTTCCATTCTTGTTGCAGATACTATTCTTTATTAAAAATAGTACTTCACGGCCAGGGACAGTGGCTCACACCTGTAATCCCAGCACTTTTGGAGGCACAGGCAGGCGGATCACTTGAGGTCAGGAGTTCGAGACCAGCCTGACCAACATAGTGAAACCTCATCTCTACTAAAAATACAAAAATTAGGCCGGGCACGGTGGCTTACGCCTGTAATCCCAGCACTTTGGGAGGCTGAGGTGGGTGGATCACCTGAGGTAAGGAGTTTGAGACCAGCCTGACCAACATGGTGAAACTCCGTCTCTACTAAAAATACAAAAAAATCAGCTGGGTGTGGTGGTGGGTGCCTATAATCCCAGCTACTTAGGATGCTGAGGCAGGAGAATCGCTTGAACCTGGGAGGCAGAGATTGCAGTGAGCCGAGATCACGCTATTGCACTGCAGCCTGGGCAAAAAGCGAAACTGTCTCAAAAAAAAAAAAAAAAAAAAAAAAAATTAGTTGGGCATGCTCCTGTAATCCCAGCTACTCGGGAGGCTGATGCAGGATAATTGCCTGAACCCGGGAGGCAGAGGTTGCGGTGATCCGAGATCGCACCACGCACCACTGCACTCCAGCCTGGGCGACAGAGTGGGACACGGTCTCAAAAAAAAAAAAAAGTACTTCAGATAGAGTTGTCCCTAGAGGCATTTGGGCTAGATGTGATTTCCCCTAGAGGGTGGAGAGAGCTGGGCCTGGGTTATAATTACACTATGCACTACTTCCTCCTAAACCACATTTTTTTTTTTTTTTTTGAGATGGAGTTTTGCTCTTCTTGCCCAGGCTGGAGTCCAATGGCATGATCTCGGCTCAGTGAAACTTCCACCTCCCGGGTTCAAGCGATACTCCTGCCTCAGCCTTCCGAGTAGCTGGGATTCCGAGTACCTAGGGCCACCATGCCTGGCTAATTTTTTTGTATTTTTAGTAGAAATGGGGTTTCTCCCTGTTGGTGAGGCTGGTCTCGAACTCCCGATCTCAGGTAATCTGCCTGCCTCACCTTCCCAAAGTGTTATGATTACAATCATGAGCCACTGAGCCCGGCCTGAAAGGAATCTTTTGAGGGGAAAGGGAGTCACAAAAGTATGCAGTCTGAGGGCATAAAGGGGAATCTCACAACTTTGTTTTGGTGGCAGAAGGGAGGGGCTCCCTTTGAGCTTTTTTCCCCCAGCAACTAGTAACAGCTGAGCTGCTGATTACGGGGGTAGCTAGGACCTCTGAAGTTTGAAGTTCAGAATTGTACATAACCCGCTATGCCCTAGAAATGGTCCTAGTCACACTTTTGAATATTTCACAAGCGTCCGTGCCAGTAATGTGACTAGAGTATAGATAACATTTGAGTGCTTGCTGAGTACCAGGAACTGAGTTCAGCAGGTTACATTAAATTGTCACAATAAGCCTACAAGGTGAATAGCAGTATTATCCCTTTGTTAGAAAAAGTTGCCCAAGATAATTACAGCTAGAGAGCCATAGAGCTAGGACCAGTCCATTGTCTTAGCCAGAACTCTTCCTATCTCTCTTTCCTGGAATGTTGCGAAGTGACTTCAAATCCAGTTTACTAAACTGAATCTGTGAAATTTGGGGTTTAATCAGTGAAGAAATGTACTTGTCTCAGTAAATGTCCTCTCAGTCTTCATAACTTCAGAAGGTTTTTTTTTTTTTGGAAAAAAATTATTGCAACATCAAATTATGTGAATACTCCTCTTTATCTCTTCATTTAATAACACAGTGGTCTTACCCATCTCCTGGAAGGTTTGCAAATCTGGGAGTGGGGAGAAGGGAGATTGTCTGGGGGAATCACCAGCATTTAGTACTCCAGGAGACAGATAATAAATAAATGGGATGCACTGGGCATTGGACAGCCCCTCGTAATGAATAATTCTTCCACCCAGAATACCAACATTTCTCCCTTTTAGAAAGTCTGAGCTACTCCTCCATAAAATGCAAGTAAAGAATTTCTTCCATGAGAAATTGAAGGTATACTTTGCCCAGTTAGGGTGCATAAACCATTTGTAAAATTCCATTCCAGATCCATCCCAACTGAATTATTTTTGCATTCATTGCTCCTCCTTTTCCTTTTTTTTTTTTTTTTTTTGCCAAGTTTAAATACAATCAAACTGTTCACTTAATCTCACTTTTTTGGAACAAATCTATGGCAATTACTCTTCCCTGACTAGGAAATAGGAAGGAGGGGATCACATTTAAAAAAACAGTTTGTTCTGTTCCTGGCAGGAGCTATCTACCATCCAAAAAAGATTCATAGAGTACAGATGTCCCTGGGCTAAACTGTTGGCTGTGTTGGTCCAAGGGTTTGATAAATGTCTCTCTCAGAAGCCACACTGATTGCTTTGTTTATTATAACCTTTATTCAGCTTGATGCGAGGGGATTGAAATTCATTACACTTCACAGATATGCATTATTAGCTTGGATAATTATTTTGATAAAGTATTGACTGTAACGTTGACTTATCTTCATGATAAAAATCTTTAACATTCTTAATATAGATTCATTCCTTGCCTCTGAACAATATAAATTTTGAGATGGTATTTTAAGGACTTCGGTCTGATTGAATAGCAACAGGTTATATGGTCCAAAATGGTTGACTGTTCCAGTAATACTTGTAGCTAACATTTATTGCCATTTATCTTCACAACAACCTTACAAGGCAGGTACCATCATTATTCCTATTTTATATAGTAGCACTGAGATGATAGCGAGAAAAGTCATATTTCTCGACTGCTTCCTCAATATCAATGGAAAATCATAAACCATAACATTAACATGTGTATATAGCAATCTTTCAAAAATTTTCTAGAATTACAAATACTTTAATATCCTTTCAGATATTGTAATGTAATCTACATCACATTTAAATAATTGATGTGTACTACTTAGGCAATTTTCAAAGATCAAACCAAGATAATGTACCCATCTAATAGAATATAAAATAGTTAACAAGTGCTACTTGGTAGTGCTCTTTTTTTTTTTTAACTTTTAGGTGTGGGGGTACATTTGAAGGCTTTGTTACATAGCTAAACTCATGTCACGTGGGTTTCTTGTACAGATTATTTCATCACCCTGGTATTAAGGCCAGTACCCAATAATTTATCTTTTCTCTTCCTCTCCCTCCTCCCACCCTTCCCCATCAAGTAGACTCTAGTTGTCTGTTGTTTCCTTCTTTGTGTTCATAAGTTCTCATCATTTAGCTCCCACTTATAAGTGATAATGTGGTT